ACCAATGCTGTGGATACACAATCTGATTGTCTTGTCTCCATGGCATGCAATCTATCTGAAAAAGGATTTTCCATATGGGGGGTAATGTTGCAAGCTTCATTGTCCTGTCTGTAGATGACAGAGTTTAGTCTGCACAACGCTCAGTGCCTGCAGCCAGCTTTCCATAGAGCACATCTTGGATCCGTGCAGCTTCCATTTCTGTTGGACTATTATGTGAAGCCAGAGTAGACATCACCTGAGGACCAGAAGGCGAACAAACATGCTGGTGAATGTATGTTTAGGAACGCACAGGTCTTGATTTGAAATGCTGTCCAGCATGACGTCAAACAATTTCCTGTGCAGCCGCATATGGAAGGCATGGAGCTATACTTTGTGGGTTCGTATAAGTTGCCATGACTCACTTCCATAAAGCAGTGTGCTCAGCACACAAGTCTGGTCAGACCCTCAGTATCGGTATGGGCATTACATCACATTCTACCCTACACTTTTTGGAAAAGGTGAGATCAAGCCATTGCCATAGCGCCCTTGCCTAATATGATTGTCTCTCTCAGTGTCAATGGAAAATTTGCTTTTTTGATAGAGCCTGGATAGATGAAAACTTGTCTACCACCTTCTCAATGTGGGTCATCAGTGCTGATGCATGGAATGCTATTGACATCCTGACCCCAGGATATTGGCGATAGCTTGTCACTTTTCCCTTTTCTGCGAGGAATCCTATTTGTGATAAGGAAATTTCCCTTTAAAAAAGGGAAATCTTTACAAGTATGGATATTGGTCTTCATAGGTGAATGGTGAGGCCAAACCCATGGAGGCATTGGCAAAAATCTTGATGAGTCTCTGTAGAGCTTTCCTTGAGTTGCTGTCAAGGCTTGTTGTTATCTGCAACAACATTCTCAGGGATAAAACCACCTACACTTCTGTTATTGCAATGGCAGACATGCCTAGGGTGAACAGACTCCCCATCAACTCCTTGCATGGATGTACATACTGCCTCAGTTGAACTGAAAGGCTATCGCAAGAGCAACAGGATTAAAATAGGCCAAGAGAGTAATTGAGCAAGATACATTGCTGCTTACCACTGCTTTTTGATGATGGAAGGCGTCTTGAGGAGACCCATCTTCTTGTGGCAGCGGTGTGCATTCTTCATGGTGAGACATCATTCATGGGTTGTGATGGGCATTCCATCTTGTGGAACAGTGTGAAGGATCCTTTTTGGCTGATGAGGTCAAAGGCCGTTCACCACGGTCTATGAAGGGCAAGCTCAAGAGTGTCTCTTGCTCTTGCCCAGTTAATTGCATTATCTCCTGCAGTTGGCGTAGTCGAGAAAATATATTGATGTGGACCTCTAGTCCTAAAAGCCACATTGCGACCCAGGATAGACCCGTGTCAGCAAGTGACTGCCAGTCTGTTGAGACAATAAGGTCTTGCAGTACTAAGCATTTGTGATTCACATGGTAGGTGTGTTTGAATAATCACAGTCACTATTTCTTATGGAGCTCCAAATGCTGCGGTTGGAATCTTGTGGCTATGATCCCTCTTCTCCCGACACTTGCCCAAAGAGAAAGGCCTATGAGGTGTGTCATGAGGGAGGAATTGAGGCTGGCTTTCAGCACTGTTGGGATTCCAATCCTGTCCTGGAACTTAACCAATGCCTGAAAGATTGATTGACCATTATTTTCAGCTCATGCAAGGGAGGAGGAAGTACCCAGCTCTTCCAGGACAGGCAGGTCTGGATGCTGTCAATGCTGCTGTTGGAGACCATGTTTTTCAGGAGTACAGCTTTTGCTAGTGTTCTGCTTCTGCCCATTGTTCATCTGCTTGCTGCAGTCTGTAAAGCTCTCTCTCAGGACAAGGTTTTCAGCAGTGCAGTTTTCCTATCTGGTTGGTCCTTTTCAAATGAGTACGGCAGCAAGACGCTTTAGAATCAGACTTTTTCTTTTCTCCTAAGATGAGCTATCTCCACTGGTGAATGAGCACCATCTGCCTTGTTTCTCAACAGCACCCTGCAGTAAAAAAGCCTTCCTGGCATTTGACTCACTATTAGTCTCATCTGCTCAGAAGCATATGTAAGAAGAAGCCTGATAAACGATGGTTCAATTAAAACTCTTCATGGGCAATGAATCGACCCACCTTTAATAGAAGCCATGGTCAATGATCCAAATTATGGAATTAAGGGCATGGAAGAGATCAGGTCTTTGACACCAGCACTCAAAAGCCTTTTGTCAATCCTGCATCCTCAGGTGACCTGATTTTGCAACCTCAGATAATGGAAACTCCTGGAAAATAAAGCAAGGAGGACTCAGTCGTAGCCCACGTCCTGTTGCAATAATTAATCCAATACATCCTTTCCCAACTCAGTGCCTTCTAGGTGCCATCAGCCCCTAACCAACAGGTTGCATTGGAGGGCACCAAGTGGAGGAAGATTGATTTAGTATACCTGCTAGAGGGGAACATTTTACCAGATTGGGGGGGGAGGGGAACATAACACTCTTCTTAGGGATGACTCCCCCTATTGGCAACAGGAAGGGTCTTCGTGGCCTCTCTAGGGGAGGAGTCGCCCCACTTCCCCCAGACCAACTCTGCCTGCAGTCAGAGCAGTGGTGTCTCTCTCCTCTTTATTTCTGAGAGAATTGGTCTTCCTGTGAGTGTGACAGTTTCCATTGTCTTGTTCTATATTACGACTTCCAGACGTCTGTTGGCTTATAACCTGCCAGGCATGGGCCCGCTATCAGTTAGTAATTCACCACACTTCGACCAGTGGGGTCAACAGTGAATCCACAGCTCCAGCAGTCTTCCAGCTGAACTTCAGAGTTTTCCTGCTTTCCAGTAGTCATCTTTTTCCAGAGTTCCTGGTTAAGAAAAAACCTCTGTCCCACTCAGTTCAGTTCTAAGTTTAAGTATAAAGTGTTTATTGTCTCACAAGACAAAGATAAATGTACTAACTACTGTAATACAGTTCTTCTGGTCTTAGAAGTAAAGAAACAAATATACAGAGATATCCACCAGCTCTTTACCATGCTAGCTCACACTACGCTGTGTAAAACCCACCAAACACAGTTGCTCACAGACTCTCGCCTTGTTGCCCCCAGATTACAGAATGCAATGCAGACTTGACTTCTATACCAGTTTCTGCTCATATGCACATTCCTGAGAAAAAGTGAGGTTGGATAAATCAGCAAGCCTGACTTTCAGTGTTGTACTGTTGCTAGGCAACCCTGTGCACCTGGCATCCTATCTCTAAACAAGATATTGAGATCCAAACAAGCAATTTCACTCCTTTTTCCAATTACACCTTGTTTGCTTAACTTCTTTGAACGTCTGGATTAGTCCCATAGTGTTCTCCTGTCCTTAAGAGTTGTTTTGGTCCATCTCCTGTGTCTTCTCCTCTTCCCTTCTGTGGTTTCCACCATTTTGTGCTTTGAAAAATGTAAAAAAAAATCCTCATGTGTATTCCTCCCTATCATCTTGAATATGACTGAGGAGGGAGTATGGGGGTATTAGTGTGAGCCCAGCAGGGCTGTGGAGTTCCAGAGAGGCTCACTTAAGTGTGATCAGGCCAGGGACTTCCCACTTCTCTCACACAGAGCAGGAACACTTTGTTTTCTATACAAAAAAAGTTTCAGAAGGTAGGTAGGAGGCTTCCTTCTCCTGACTCGGAATCAAGTCTGCTTTCACGTCCAGTGGGGGTGAGGCTGTTGGCTTTCACACACCGTTGGAAGGATGTCAGCTCAGACAGGTAGGTGATGGAGACAGTAACACAGGGATATGCTCTAGAGTTTGCATCTCATCCTTGAGGCATTTTTGTCCCAACACCTTGTTCCCAGGTTCTGGAGACGCACCAGAATTTTTGGTGGCTATAAATCATCTCCTGGAAGTGTGTGTGTGTGAAGTGAGAACTGGACCAATAAAGAGGGCTGATCACCGAAGAATGAATTATGGTGCTGGAGGATACTCTTGAGAGTCCCATGGACTGCAAGAAGATCAAACCTCTCCATTCTGAAGGAAATCAGCCCTGAGTGCTCACTGGAAGGACAGATCCTGAAGCTGAGGCTCCAAGACTTTGGCCACCTCAGGAGAAGAGAAGACTCCCTGGAAAAGACCCTGATGTTGGGAAAGATGGAGGGCACAAGGAGAAGGGGACAACAGAGGACGAGCTGGTTGGACAGTGTTCTCGAAGCTACCAGCATAAGTTTGACCAAACTACGGGAGGCAGTGGAAGACAGGAGTGCCTGGCGTGCTCTGGTCCATGGGGTCACAAACAGTTGGACAAGACTAAACAACAACAAATACACAGACACACACACATATATATTCTTATATAATTAATTTTTACAAACATACCAAATTTAAAAAGAAAAACTTGGAAAGCAAACAATGTATCATATATATATATTTTCGGCTCCCCTCCCCACTCTTTCTGCAGTTCCTTGCTTTTATAATATTTTACTGCAATCATCTATTGGAAAACAGAACCATCAAACCAGTTGGTCCTTAACAGAGGAAATAAGGGGTCTATTCGATATTCAAAATATTCACTCCAGAATGACATCCAAATGATCTTTTTCTGTTAGGCATATTTTCCCAGTCTTCCAGCCCAGCTATAAGCTTCTAGCAAATATGTAAACTAAGTATTTTCCCAGAAGAAGAAGAAGAGTTTGGATTTGATATCCCGCTTTATCACTACCCTAAGGAGTCTCAAAGCGGCTGACATTCTCCTTTTCCCTTCCTCCCCCACAACAAACACCGCTGTGAGGTGAGTGGGCTGAGAGACTTCAGAGAAGTGTGACTGGCCCAAGGTCACCCAGCAGCTGCATGTGGAGAAGCGGGGAATCAAACCTGGTTCACCAGATTACGAGTCCACTTGCTCTTAACCCCACTACACCACGCTGGCTGCTCTATGTGGAATGCTGATTGGTGGCTGCCAGTCCCAGTTAGGGAGCAGCAGAAGCTGAATGGGAAGAGTTCTAGAATGTTCTGCATCAAAGTAGGAGGTGGTTGAGCTGTTGAAGGAAGGAACATCTGTATGCAGGAAGAAGCTGAGGCCAAGAGAAGATCAGCTGATGGGAGCACCACGGTATCCAAATTAGGGCAGAATTGGGTGGGGATGTTATTCGTATGAAACTGCCTTGTACTTAAGGATGGTTAGATTAGTCCGGTTTCTCATCCCATGTCACTTTCACATGTGTTTAATATGTGTTTTTCATAAGTCCATTCCATCCCATTTCTATGCTGAGGTGTGAATTTTGACAAGAAAAAAATTCGTATGAAAAATTGTATTCAAATATGAGTTTTAAACACCAACTAAGTGTTTAGATGATATATCTATATTTCGGCATACACGTTTCTGAATGTATTTATTCACAAAGTACACAAGTGTGTGTGTTGTTGTTGTTTAAAAAATGCATTTGTATTTAATTTGAGCCAAGGACTATATCACAAAAATTTGGAAATGCGAAAAACCCAAATGATAATTACATTTCGAGCTGCTTATTTGTTCAGGAGGTGCAAATTAGGTTGGTCTGCTTAAGAAGGCAGACAGAACAAAATTCTCTGTCCCTCTTTTCACTGAGTCAGAGAATTCCCTGCCTTGCCCAGTGCTGCGTCATCTGACATGGTGACCCATACTTCAAAATCTCAGGCATTGCTTTGCTGCTGCTGCTGGAGATCCCAGAGGCTTTCTGGGTGCAAATGCTGTGTTAACTATGCTCCACAAAACTCCAGCCAGCCTATCATACAAACAGGAGCATAATAATGAACTCTATGAGTGCTCCTTAAGTACTCCATTCGTCTTAATGTAGCCTTCATCAACCAGGTCTGTTCAGGTGGTTTTGGATTATAATTCCCAACAGCCCCAGCCAAAATAGCCATTAGGAGGAGACTCTTGAGAGTCCCATGGACTGCAAGAAGATCAAACCTATCCATTCTGAAGGAAATCAGCCCTGAGTGCTCACTGGAAGGACAGATCCTGAAGCTGAGGCTCCAATACTTTGGCCACCTCATGAGAAGAGAAGACTCCTGGAAAAGACCCTAATGTTGGGAAAGATGGAGGGCACAAGGAGAAGGGGACAACAGAGATGGGTGGGACAGTGTTCTCGAAGCTACCACCATGAGTTTGACCAAACTGCAGGAGGCAGTGGAAGACAGGAGTACCTGGCGTGCTCTGGTCCAGGGGCTCACGAAGAGTCGGACATGACTAAATGACTAAACAACAACAACAGGTTTGTGAATGATGTCTTTGAGTTACAGTTTAAGCAGTCTACAAACCTATTTATGTATGCTACAACAGCAGCAAGAGTCTTGTTAGCACAAGGATGGAAGAATGAGGAAGTCCCGACGAAAAAAACAATGGCAAGAAAAACTGATGAGCTATGCAAAGTTGGCAAAGTTGACATAGAAACTGTGTGAGGACAATCGTGATTTCAAGGAAGAATAGGAACTATTTACAAACTATTTAAGAAGACCACAAAAGGATTTGGACTCCTTTGGCAGGTTTTGAATAAACATCCACAAATTCATTAGTAGAACATATGACAGATAAGGCAATGATATGTACAATTTTATAACATGCAGAGAATAATATGTATAAACAAATCAGAGAGAGGAGCCGAGGGAAGTCTTTGGAGGGTGGGAGTGGGAGGGAAGGGGGAAATGGGAAAATGTAATTGGATATATTGATTTATAAATTGATTTGCTAAAAGTGATGATAATAATAATAAAAATATTTAAAAAAACAAAGTCCATTATATATTTCCGTAGAGAACAATCCAGGTGGAGAAGCCAGTGAAAATGAATAGACAAAATGAAGAAGAGCAGTAGTCTCCCATCAGGAGGTAAGTTGTTTCTAATTTTATTTTCAGTTCACAGGAATACAAACCATATTTTTATATTTGGAGCAAGGCCAGGGGCCTCCATTCTGTCTGTTTTCCCTGCTTGCTTCTCTTTAACTGGAGAGAGGATGTGAGAGACACAGCTACTCCCAGTTTGGGCTTCTTTCTCCATTTAAGAATTAGGGATGGGGAGAAACTCAGCTCAGTTCACATTTACAGGTGTACTTATCTGATTCCCAATGTCCAGAACAACATGCAAACTGAAACAGAGCCATACTCTGAAACTCACACTTCTCCAAATTTGTGTTTGTCCAGCCAAGCAATTTGTGTTTGTCCAGCCAAGCAATGTTTATTTAAAAACACACACACATGTATTAGCAGTAGGTGTGCATAAAAATGCATGCATTGATAAAAATAACATACAAAGGAAATTCCTTTGCAAATTTGTAGATTAGGCAAATTGCAATAAAATATGTGCATATTAAGAGAAATTCGCACTAAAACACTGGCGAATTTTCATTAGAATGTGTTTTTTTAAAAAAATAATCACAATCTAGTCTGGAAATGTGGAGAACTGAATTAAGGATTGGAAAAAATGAGAAACTGACATCTTTGCCCATCCCCAATGAGCAAAAAATCTTACCTGGTCTTCTGCAAGCCCTCTGCTTCCTCTTTCTTTTTCATCCCTGCCCCGTCACACGCTGCTTACTATGGCTTACTACAGGGGTCAGCAGACTTTTTTAGCAGGGGGCACCACGGTCCACTGTCCCTCAGACCTTGTGGGGGGCAGGACTATATTTGGGGGGGTGAACGAATTCCTATGCCCCACAAATAACCCAGAGATGCATTTTTAATAATAGCACACATTCTACTCATGTAAAAACACACAGATTACCAGACTGTCCGCGGGCAGGATTTTGAAGGCGATTGGGCTGGATACGGCCCCTGGGCCTAAGTTTTCCAACCCATGGCTTAGTTCTTGGTCTCTAAAAGCTCAGAGAAGTAGCCACGTATTGACTTGGTGTATAAATGTCAACAAGTGCCAGAAAAATTTCAGTGGGTAGAAAATTCCAAAAATGGGGCATCATGGCAGAAAAGTTCCATTAGCGAATCACTGCCAAATATATAGATCTTAACTTCCAGGCAGGAACATGAAGAGAAAGAAGAACTCCTCCAAGTGTTTAAGAAATTCAGTAATTTATACATCTGTAGAATTCAGATGAAAATGTCTAGTTAAAATCAGTGGGACTCTGCCTATCTTTCTGAATATAAGCCTTTATATTTTGCAATGCTTAGCAAGGTTTTGTTGTTGTTGTTGTTGTGTCTGTGTGTACCCTACATGGAGTAAGTTAGGTGTTATTGACTATTGCCTTCTATTGATCATGATGTTTATTTTATACTGGCATTGTTGATGTACAGGGGGAAAGGCTAGGGGAAACAAGAAGCCAACGCTGGCCCACCCAACTCACAAGCTGAGGTGACTGCCTCAGGTGGCGGAATCCATGAAGGCAGCAGATCCAGCCTCTAAGGATCCAGCCTATGTTATGACCAATAGGTCCTTTTCATCTGTTTAGGTGTTTAGCATAAATGAGACCAGTAGTACACTCTAGGAAAGCTCAAGTAAACCTCAGACAACCAACGCTGGATTTTCTCTGTAACATTGCTTTATTGATTAATAAGCATGACAAGACAGGGAACATGCACTCAATCACACAAACATCCATACTGTCAGAGGCTTAATGCTGTCCAGCTGGCATAGATAAGACTCCGGGCTCCCAGCCAGTTCCAAACTATTTGATTTATTTGACAAAGTTCAAAAGTACATCTCCAGCGTTTCAATTAGCGTCCGTCCCCTTGTTGCACAGTTGCCGCGTCTACTCTTTTTTTTTTTTTTTTTTTCCTTTTCCGTACCTAGCATGCAAGTCTGCGGAAACCCCTCCCCTGACTTCCTCTGTGTACAGAATGACTTGTTCCCGGCTCATCCTCCTCCCTCTCTACGTCAGACTCACTGTCAGACGACAGGCTGCTAATGATCTCTTTCGGCTCTCTATAATTGCTGGGTTCTGTTCTTTCATCTTTTCCCGTTTGCCTCTCCCTGACACATATATCTCCCATACTCACCACTCTACACTGGATTGATCAGACCCAGTAAGAAACACGAGTGACCAGATGACAGCTGTCAATGTCTGGCACACAACTGAGGCTGTAAGGCTTTACCATTTATACACCTTGGTCTTCCATTACACAACTCCTTACTCCTTGTTCTTGGCATGTTTTAGGCATCTCACATCCTTGTCCTCAGCATCATCTTACAACTCTTATCTTATCTAAACATTGTGTAAAGTTCTACAGCCCACCTCCAAGCCTCCTTGCACGTACCGTTCCCGGCACACACTGTTTTTGCCAAAACATTATGATGTTTTCCACATTCCATTAGTGCTTATGCAACACAGTTCGTGATCATTTCAAAGGCATTGCATCCATTTTGTGATGTTCTTCAGCCATCTTTTCGGCCCATGCAAACTATACCATTTGCTACACCTGCTGGTGCTGTAGTGGCAGCAATGGTGGCAAGGTGTATTGAAGGATCTCGACCATAACCTGTTGAAGGATCTCAGCCATAACCTGTTGAATATTGCAGAGCATACACAGACTGTCCAGAAGCAGTCGGTTGCTAGCTGGCAGGATGAAGCAGGAACAAGACGCTGCTACTAGTAACTTGGTTACTTATAGGTTTATTATTTACAGCAGACTCACAAGTTACTATATACAGGATACTGTTGGAAAACTGGCCCCCTCGGGAGAGGCTGGCCCCTCTCCCAGGCTCCTGGGGCCTGTTTACCAGTGATCTTCCCTGGCTGGCATCCCAGCAGTCCAGGGAGATCTTGATAGGCAACACCTCCCTGATGAAAGGTGCATACCCCCTTCCCTCTTGCATAGCAGCAGGAGAAAGAAGATAGTCAGAAAGTCTGCTACATCTCTACAGTTTATTTCTGACTGTACAACTGTACAAAAACATGTCCGTTCACTCAGACTTCTCCGAGCAACTGACTCAGACTTCCTTCACACAAGCAACAGGAAGGTCTCATGTTACACAAAGAACAGATCTCTGAGAAATCCCTGGAGCTTCCTGTCCCACGGTTAGCTCCATCATGTGATGTAAACATCCAGCTGCTTGTTCGCAGCTGCGTAGTAGTCATATCCCAACAGATACAGACATGGATCTTAACTCTTTCTGAACAAACTCCAACTAACTCTCAGAACAACATTGACCAACCAGCCACTAACCAACAGGAAGGTCATGAGTCATCATGCCTATGTGAGTGGCCTCGTCCAATAGCAGAGTTGTATCCAAGGTCCCATATCTCTAGGCAGAATAACTCCCTCTGCTCAGTCTTCTTGGTCTTCGGCCAACTCCTTAATTGCTTTTGTGGGAAGCTGCATCAGATAGCACATAGGCAAAAATCCCAACAGGGTGCTCCTTGGAAGACAGAGGGAAGATTTGTGACAAGCCCATAGTTATCAAGTTATCAAGCTTTCAGTCCAGTGTAGGTTTATTGAGCAGCAGCTTTCAAAGCTTTTGTGCTTTAGGTGCTGCTGGCTAAAGCCAGAATATATGAACAAGCTTATCCACTGGGATGATGCCAGGATGCTTTCTGTGGGTGGTCCAAGGACAATTTTCATTCCTTTTTTTTTCTTCCAGAGACACTGCCTGATGAGGAGGAATCTTACTATGGTGAACGGGCTGTTGGGTTCCTGTGTGTCCTCATGCTTTCTATCTCAACTGTGCTGCTTGTCCTGTGTAAGTTCCTACTCTTCTAGCAAAGAAAGCCCATCAGATGTGATAAGGATAGCCTTCCTTCAATATGAAGAACCCTTTCAAAAAGAGGGGAGGCACAACCCGACCTCCATTAAGTCCTTGTACTCCCCATTGATTTGATTCAATCTAAGTGGGGGAAAAACCCCACCAGCTAAGCTCTGCACCAAGAGGTAGCTGATGCCCCAAGTTCAGTGGTACCTCGCAAGACAAATGCCTTGCAAGACGGAAAACTCGCAAGAAGAAAGAGTTTTCCGTTTTTCGAGGTGCTTCGCCAGACGAATTTCCCTATGGGCTTGCTTCGCAAGAAGAAAGCCCATAGGGAAATCTCCGGGGACCTCTTTTAAAATGCTGGCGGTTGGGAGCAAAGACTTTTGCCCCCCGCCGGCCTTCAGAAGAGGTCTCCGCTGTCCCAGGGGCTTTTAAAATGCTGGCGGTCGGCAGCATAGCCCTCCTGTCCCCGGAGGTTGCGGGGCGGGAGGTGGGGAGAAGGGCTTTTCTTCCCACCGCCAGCCTTCAGAACAGCCTTCTGAAGGCTGGCGGTGGGAAGAAAAGCCCTTGTCCCCCCCCCCAGCCTTCAGAAGAGGTCGGGGGACAGACTGTCCCCAGACCTGGTCTGAAAGCGGTTTCCATAGGAACGCATTGATTGATTTTCACTGCATTCCTATGGGAAACCGTGCTTCGCAAGACAAAAAAACTCGCAAGAAGAAAAAACTCGCGGAACGAATTAATTTCGTCTTGCGAGGTACCACTGTACAGATTGCCACATTCCACATGCGCTCCAGTGCACTGTCTCCTTTCGTATGGCATCGCCTGTTCCAGGGCTGAGCAATGGCATTAGAAATTGTGTCCTTGTGACCATTGCAGAGGGAGACAGGTGTGTGCTATGCTCAGAATGACCATCTCACTAGGTATAAGCATGTTGTGTCTAAACAGTACTCCTTTTCTACCTTCCTTGGTATTAGATTATTTGGAATCACAAGAAGTAGCAGCAAAGATCAATGCTATGCATAGGATTCGGGAATTCATGGTCAGTCGAAATCAGTCCTTTGAACACATGAATGGTAAGTAATGAGTGGCAGTGTTGATGCTCAAGTCCTTTCCCTCTCTCCCACACTCGGTCCTTATCCCATACCTGAAGGAGGGCTTACAGTCATGTAAAGAGGGAGTGTTTTATTGCCCACCTGTCTTCCAATGCCTCTCCTCTGAGAATATCCTTCTATTCCATTAACAATATTCAGCAGTTGTGTAACCCCATATGGAACCCAAGATTCCCCTTTCAGTTTTGGAGGGCAGTTAGGAGCAGGTCATTTTCCTCACTTGCTCCAGAGGCAGGGCTATCAAATGACTTTGGGCTCAGTACCTTTAAATGCCAGTCTATAGTTAGAGGCCAATTCGTTCCATTTCCTCTGCAAAACCCTCCCATTAACCTAGATATACAAACGAACAACAGAAATGTAAATGGCAGCCAAACTCTGCATTGCCAGCCAGAGACGGCACAGGTTAACGGCAGACTTTCTTTCTCTTGTTATTGGAGCTGTCCAAGGTCCTACAACTCCACCCAGACCAAGACATAATGTAACTTGTGAGGCTCTGTCTGTTGTCTGAATTGGACAGCTCTCCAGGGAGGGTGTACAGTCATACCTTGGGTTATAGGTGCTTCGGGTTGCGCACCGCGCCAAACCCAGAAGTACCGGAATGGGTTACTTCCAGGTTTCAGCACTTGTGCACGTGCAGAAGCGCTAAATCACACTTTGCACATGCGCAGAAGTGCTGAATCACAACCCCCGCGTATGCAGACACGGCGCTGCAGGTTGCGAATGCTGCAGGTTGCGAATGTGCCTCCTGCATGGATCACGTTCGCAACCCGAGCGTCCACTGTACAGTGTACTGCTTTGCCATTTTTTAAAACATGACGTTCCTAGATTACTCCAAGCCTGGAAGACTGGGTTTCCCATGGATGATAATTCTCTTCAGTAGATGAATCACCCAAGAATTGTCTCCTTGCCACAGTATAAGAGGTTAGGGTTAGGGTTGACTTCAGGAGCCAACTATTAGGATAGATTAAGGTCGGGGGGTGACCTTCTGTCTAATCTTCTTCAGGCAGGGGTTAGTTATATGCCCACTTATTTGTGTTTACGGGAACAGAAGGTAATGGTTTCTTGAACTGCAAGAAATATTCCATAATTCCTTTTTTCATTCAGCTGCAATTGTGTCCTGAAACCAGGGGAGAGTTCTCCTACTGGCTCGGACCAAGCCCAAAGTCATTTGCATAGCCCTGCTTCTGAGGCAAGTGGGAGGAGCAAGCCATTCCTGGGTAACTTCCATCTATTGAAGAGAAAGGAAGTTCGCAGTAAGTCCAACATACCTTTTTGCCAAAGAATCTGATAAAGTTTAGTCCTGAGGAATTGCAGCAGAAGTTCGCTAGCTGATTCCCCTTTCTTTGGTCCATTTTGTTTGAACTCATCAAAACTTCTCACACAGAGCATTGCAATGTGCTCTATGTGAGGCTGCCCTTGGAAGAAACTTCAACTGGTCCAAAATTTAGTGGCCAGTTACTGGGCAGGGTTCCTCTTAGATCTTAGATAGTCCATTTTTAATTATTGCTGGCTTTTTAAAAAGTGACATGGAGGGAAGTGTGTGTTTGTGTAAGGAAGGGCTAGAATTGCTAATAAACAGTTTAAACTTCAATTCAGTGATGCATTTATACTTTTTCTCTCTTACTTGGGAGGAAATCCCATTGCATCTGGAAGATCTATAGCAGGGGTCATCAACCTGGTCCCTACCGCCCACTAGTGGGCATTTCAGGATTCTAGGTGGACAGTAGGGGGTTCTATGGCACAAGCTGAATCCTCCTTCCATCGAGCAATGGCGGGCAGTAAGGAAATTTTACCATCAAGAAAGATGCATTAGTGGGTGGTAGATATAAAAAGGTTGACTACCCCTGATCTATAGGAGCATAGCTGTAGTCACTGCAAGGTGATCTCTAGGGTTTGGGGGCAGAGTTGGTGGGAGGAGAGCTTCGCCAAGTTGAGTTGCGGGTGGGGGACCAGGGATAGATATAACTAACGTGTATGTGCCCTTCATACACTGGGCAATCTGCACACAGAATCATTGCACCCTTTGCAGGATCATGTCCATAAGAGCCATTTCCCGTACACAATCATGGGGGTTGAGACAAAGGGACACTGATATAATGGCATAGACTAACCAGGATCCCTCCCTCTTGGTGATCCCTGCTGCAGAGAATCAGGACTGCTTCCATCAGCATAACCCTGGGATCTACTTCTTGTCTTATGCCAGAGCGCAACAGAATGTAACGCAATTACCGTAATTTTCTGATCCTAAGGTGATATTATTTCTGTAGAAATAATTGGCTAAAACTGTGTGTCTTCTTATACATGGAAAGCTGATGGGTGATGGGCGATTTGGCATGTATTTGGTTGCTGCGGCAAGGCCTGCTGATGATTGGCTGTGGCTGCAGCAATTGGGCATTTGATTTGTGGCATGCGTGCCATCTGCTGTGGTTTCATTGAGTGTGCAGGTGGGCATCCCACCCCCAATAAAACTCAACAACTCTGGGCAGTCTCCCCCTCCAAAATTTTATTTTTTCGTCCCCAAAAATAGGGGTCGTCTTATACATGGGGGCGTGTTATACACGGAAAAATACAGGTGTGTGTGTGTGTGTGTGTGTGTGTGTGTGTTTGAGATCTCCCTGACTTGATCTGCTACAACTCTTTAGATTCAGCAATACTCAATGAAGCTCAGAAGTTACTGCAGGAAGTGGTCAAGATAGATTCTAAAATTTTTGAATTACAGCTATCAATTGGTAAGTTACTCTATGCGACTGTGATGCAAACAAATCAGAGCACAAGGAGAACCTCGCCCAGCTGAATCTGTACCTCCTGAAAGTCCCACAGCCTCTGAACATGGTGGTGGTCCCTCTTTGCATCTGGCCACTCTTGGACCTCAACCGTGTCCCTTCCCATGTAGTCCAAAACACATGGAGCAAAACTCCCATCAGCCTCAGCCAGCACAGGAGCTTACCAGGCTGGGGAAGGGTGCCCTATTAAATAAATAAATAAATCTTATTTATATCCCGCCCTCCCCAGCCAAAGCCGGGCTCAGAGCAGCTAACATCATACAAGTAAGACAATGCATAAAAACAAGCAATCAATAAATTGAGATACATCCCACAATTAATTCAAACAAACTGGACAAGTGGCAATCTTCAGTTTAAAATTGAAGGTGGTTACCAACTGTTTCCACTGATATTATAAGGACCTGTGAGCGGGCTGGGAACCTCCTTCGTGCTTGTTCTTATACAAGGAGAAAATGAGTCAGACTGAACCCTGGCCAAAGGTCTGGCAGAACAGCTCCGTCTTGCAGGCCCTGCGAAAAGATGTCAAATCTCACAGGGCCCTAGTCTCTTGTGACAGAGCGTTCCACCAGAAGGAACGCTCAGAGGATGTATAGGTGCGATCTCATCAATGGCCGCCAAGCTCAGTCAATGAGTCGCCAGGGGGAGCAGGGTCCTGCAAGGCCTGACGGAATCCATCAGGGTCCATCAGTCTCTGCGGGCGAGCCCAAATAGGCTTGCCACCTAAGCAGGGTGGGGGCGATAAGTCATTCCTGGCTTTCAGGGCGTAGTGATCAGACCATGGCACCTCCATCGAGGGGGACATGATCATATCTACGCCTGCACCAAAGATCAAATCCAGCGTGAGTCCTGCTTGATGTGTGGGGCCCAAAACAAACTGGGAGAGCCCTAGAACCTCAAGCTGGTTGTGAGATTCAAAGACAATAATGTTGCTCCTCTTCCTCACCAGCTCTAACAACTGGTGCAGGATAGGAGCCAACTTCCGGGGGCTAAGGTCCCTTTGCCCCCTCCCAACTGTGTCTGTGACAGCGTTTCCTAATTAGATGTAAACAATAAATCTATAATGTTTTGCCCAGGTTTGATTCCCTGTTTTGAGACATCACAAATGTTCTTGGGGATGTGCTGGAATGTTGCAGGGTTGGATTACGTCAAAACTCTGTCTTGTATCATATTGGCACTTAATGAAATACATGTACTTCTGAGGTGCATATTAAAATCTGCAGAGATCTAAAAGCTGGTTCCTAATGTCTGCCCTTCTTGTTCTCGGTGGGTTCCTTTTATGATCTGGCCACATTGGCTCAAAGACGCTTTCATTGAAAGGATATCCACTGGGTGGAAGCAACATGATGGCCACCTCTATTACCTCGACGCTTATGAAACGGCATTTTTTTATGCCCGAAGGGCATGTAATAACAGGAATGCTATTTTGACTCCCATCACCACTGCTAGCGAGGAGGTAAGCCTAACAATGGGGTGCTAGAAGGCAAATGCATTCACATCACAATGATTTTACAACCTGACCCTTGAGTGAAGTGGGGGCCCCAAAACACCCTTCCATGTCGCTGAGGAGGACCATAGAGAGGGGACCAACTGGATGGTACTATTTGACAGAAGCCAAGCAGAGTAGCTCCTCTGCTGGGTTATATTCGCACTTATGTTTTGTGCTTCTGAGTGCTTTTATGATGCCTTAGCATGGTGGTGCTTTACTTGGAAGCCACCTTGTTTTGTTTTGTTTTGTTTTAATCTTTCATATTTGATTTTACAGATATAAATTTATAACAAAACCAAACACATATCCATATAGAGAGATTTCTCTGGATCTCAAGACTTCCCCCCCCCATCCTCTCCTATTGTCAACATTTTCAACTGCATATTATTTCCTAGTCTATATTTTATATCTATCCATATTGTCCATTGTATTTGTTACACTACAAGCGAGATTAAAATCCTGCTAATCTTTTCATCTGCTTGCATGGTCTCCTAAATAAATTCCTAAATAATTTTTTCCCATACTTCCTTGAAGTTTTTCTCTTCTTAGTTCCTGAGCTTTCTGGTCAATTTTGCCATTTCAGCGTAGTCTTGGTTTCCTATTCTCTGGTAGAGACACTTTCTTCTTTCCATCTCTGGGCTAGTAGCATCCGTGCTGCTGCTGTTGTCTCATACATGAAGAGCCTTTTCTGTTCCTTTGGGATGTCAGTACCTACAATCCCTAATAAGAAGGCTTCTGAGTTGCCCCAGCAAATCCGTTCCACTTCCCTGTGGGGAGGAGTTGCGGTGGACCGCGCAGCCACCCACTCTCCTCCAGGGACAGGGGACGAAGTCCCGCCTTACCCAGGGGATCCTCGTCATGTCATCGACCAGCCGGCCAATCCGGCAGCTGGTGGGGGCGTGGCTGGGAACATTTAAAATCAGGCGCGAACCAGAGGGCTTTCTCTTGGCTCGCTTCTTCAAACTCCCTCCCTCCCTGTTTTACAGGTTTTTCTTCAATGGCCTTGCTATGACACCTAATATCTGTGTCATGGTGTCTGTTATTCCATAGCAGGGGGTGGTTGTGGGGTCTTGACACGCAAGTAAAACCTTTGTGTATGTCACGTTCAGGGAAATGGCGGTTGGCTGCACTTGTGTCACTTGCTCCTATTGGCTGCTGTTGCTCGTGACATCACTGCAAGGCCTGTTGCAGATCTGTGCACTGCCTACCCAAACTGCAATGAGTGGGCTGCCATGTTTCCCCTTACTTACCCTGTGTCCCCTCCCACCTTCTTCAGAGGCCATCTACTCCACCTTTCCCAAGCCCAGGTGCATCTTAGTAGTCCCTTCCTGAATCAAGGCTTGAACTTCCATCACTCCACCTTTTGTGTCTGGGTGGAGATCTCTGACAATGTGACCAGTGAAGCACTATAGAACCATAGAATTGTAGAATCGGGAGGGACCAACAAGGCTCATCTAGTCCAACCCCATGCAATGCAGGAAACTTGACCAATGTGGGGCTAGCCATCAAATACATCTTCTAGAAAGGCTTTCAGCTAAGGATTAACTAGCCCTTTAATTCCAGTTAGGGATGGGTGAATCTGTCAATGGTGAGTTCTCCCTGTTTCTTTTTTCCTGTCTTAAGTTCAGATCGCCAAATTTCCGCATCAGATTGCATTTTCCTTCTAAGCCCCCATGAAAATTCATCTGCATTCTAATGCAAATTTCTCCATTATTTTTGTATGAAATTTTCCCTAATATGCACATTTTGGAAGAGCAGTGCTCGCTAATAGAGTGCATTTATGCTAATGAAGGCATGCTTATGCACAGTTTATCCAAGAATCTGCATTTTTTGTACACAGTACTCAGCTGCAGAAGTTGCATTGCGAAATTAATTGAGCTTCAAATTTCAAAGAGTGGCTGTGTTTTGATTGATGTGTTGTATCAGAAACTGCGAATCAGATTGATTTGCCTTTAAATGTGAACTCAGTTGAATTTCCCCCTTACCCCTTATTCCAGGTGAAGACACTCTATTTCTGTCTTGCAGACTTTTGTGGAATCACTGTCCAAGGCATCCAGACAAAGTGTATGGATTGGACTCTTAAAAGATGACAAAAGCTGGAAGTGGATTGATGGTAAGACGCCATTCAAAACCAGGTGGGTCCATGAAAAAGCTTCTCTGCAACCTTTTATTGTATAGACTTTCTCAAAAATAACGTTACTAAGAGCTCTTCCAGACTGTCACTATTTTCGGGTGGCATTCAATTGACAAATTCAGGTTGTGCAATTCAACCTGTTTCTCCTCGAAATGGACTTCTGTGATAAGGAAAGTGTTTGATAATGCTTGCTTGCGGTAACATAGAATCATAGAATTGTAGAGTTGGAAGGGACCCTGAGGGTCATCTAGTCCAACCCCCTAACATCCCTGACAGATGGCCATCCAGCCTCTGCTTAACACCTCCAAGGAAGTAGACAATCTCCCAAGGGAGACAGTTCCACTGTTGAACCGCTCTTCCAGAAAGTTCTTCTTGATGTTGAGCTGCAATCTCTTGTAACTTGAATCCATTGGTTCAAATTCAAATTCTCAAACCATCTACTTAGTGTGAGAAGTCTGCTTCTTCTTTAGTGCTAAGAGTCTGCACACTGCACAGAGCTTTTTTTTTTCCCCATAGCAAAAGTAGAGCGCCATTCTGGATTGATTTGTATTGCCTCTTCTTTTCAGCTTTTGGGAGCCAGGTCAGCCAGACTCGTGGAGTCCCTTAAGGGAAGATTGTGTTGAAATTCGAATGAATTGTGCAACCCCAGGAAACTGTTGGAACAATGTTAGCTGCGATGAGAGAAAAGCTGCAGTTTGTAGGGTGAGTCCAGATGAAAGGTGGATGACGTAAGTCGTAAGTGCTGCTCTCCCTGATCTACAGGCAAAAGGGGGGGGAAATGGACAGGGCGCCATTTCGCTGCAAGTCAGCTTACCACCTTATGAAAACGGTGCATGAAAAAACTCCACTCCTAGTTAATCCTGCTTCCTCAAGGCTGGAAAAATAGAACTTATTTTGAACCCCACAAAGATGGACACCAAAAAAATAATGCATGAATTACTTCAGTCATATCCCACTCTCCATGACAACAAATCAGAGTGAGTATTCATGAACATTCCCCTTCCCTGGATTTTGACTTTTCCTTCAGATATGGCGAATCCATGCATTAAAAGTTGTGAAAAAGCAATGCTTTGTTGTTGGCATTGATTATGGCAGCCCTACAGGGGCTGAACAAAATACAGTGGTACCTCGGGTACGCTTCAGGTTACATACACTTCAGGTTACAGACTCCGCTAACCCAGAAATAGTACCTTGGGTTAAGAAATTTGCTTCAGGATGAGAACAGAAATCGTGCGGTGGCAGCGGGAGGCCCCATTAGCTAAAGTGGTGCTTCAGGTTAAGAACAGTTTCAGGTTAAGAACGGACCTCGGGAACGAATTAAGTACTTAACCCGAGGTACCACTGTATCCCACAGTTGCTATTGGTCCTGATTGTGGGGCCAAGTACTGAAGTGAAGGGAACCACGTCAGCCAATAAGGTTTAAGAAGGAATGGGGGCAGAGCTAGGCTGCTGTCCTAAATATCCGAGATGGGGCATAGGTCTGAGACCATAGGTTGCCTAGACAGCTAGTTAGCAGGGAGTTATCTTGTGTATTTCTTGCACATTAGGATCTGATGTAACAGAGTGCTTCTCCAACAATGAATTAAAGAACCAGTCGCTTGTCCTTGTTCATTCGGGTGTGTTTGGGACAGGCAGTGTCAGGGCTTGAGCCTGGCTTGGTCAGCAACAAAAAGCAATAAATCACCCGAGGCCGATGAAGTTAAATCTTTATTCAAAGAAACAAACCACAGCTCAGACCCAGTGGTTTCAGCAACTGAAGGTCCCCAACTTCCCACACCTCTAGGGCTCCTCCTCTCCTGGTTTTTCAAACAGCATCTGCGCACAACTAATCTCCGTTCCGCTCTTTTCATATTTCTCTGCACATTCTCATAGGCCAGGAGGGAGGGTAGCTGGTCGCAGCAGGAGGCGGAGACTCCCTGGATTCTTCCTCTTGGCTGCCCTCCTCTCCAGCCTCTGCTTCAGCCTCAGAGTCTGGACTGCAGTCTGCCACCGCCTCTTCCTGCTCACTAAACTCTGTTGCCCTTCCAGCTTCCACACCCCTCTCCCCAGTCTTCTACCTCTGACCACTCATCGTCAGCACAACACCAATCCCCTGTCTCTGAGCCTTCTTCCCCTGATGGGGTTTCTTAACTGATGCCTCCTACCACTTTTCTGCATCCGACCAGTCCATGACAGGCAGGAGAGGCCACGCTCCATACCTGCTGCCATGGCTGAAAATGAGAAGCTAGTTTTAGAGCATGGGTAGGCAAACTAAGGAGCCAGATCCAGCCCAATTGCCTTCTAAATCCGGCCCACAGATGGTCCGGGAACCAGTGTTTTTTTGCAGGAGTAGAATGTGTCCTTTTATTTAAAATGCATCTCTGGGTTATTTGTGGGGCCTGCCTGGTGTTTTTACATGAGTAGAATGTGTGCTTTTATTTCAAATGCATCTCTGGGTTATTTGTGGGGCATAGGAATTCATTTTTATTTTTATTTTCAAAATATAGTCCAGCCCCCCACAAGTTCTGAGGGACAGTGGACCGGCCCCCTGCTGAAAATTTTTGCTGACCCCTGTTTTAGTGTGCGTGTCTGTGTATAGTTGTTATATATTCTGTGCTTCCATCCTGCACCCCACACAACTGCCCCATGCCCCAGTCCCATTCATTGGAGCTGTCAAGTGAGTGCATATGGACCCAAGTGATTCCAGCACCCATTCCTTCCATCTTTGTGTGGCATCTCCAGCCAGTGCCTACAGACTCTGCTTCATGTCCAATCAGTGCATATCCTACAACTTTTCATACTACAAACATTCCAGTGTGTGTGTGTGTGTGTGTTGCCCTGTGTTTGCTGTTGAAATAGCAAACAAACAACAAACAAACAACTGCCCTTCGCCACAGCAGGTCCCAGGGTGGGTTACGAAAAACTTAAAACTGAGAATTAAAAACAGTTAAAACAGATTGCAGTCACAAGAATAGGATGAGGCCTGAAAGCACACATCTCATGAGTCAAAAAGGTAAAGGTAAAGGGACCCCTGACCATTAGGTCCAGTCTGGGGTTGCGGAGCTCATCTCGCTTTATTGGCCGATGGAGCCGGCGTACAGCTTCCAGGTCATGTGGCCAGCATGACTAAGCCGCTTCTGGCAAACCAGAGCAGCACACGGAAATGCCGTTTACCTTCCCGCTGGAGTGGTACCTATTTATCTACTTGCACTTGGGTGTGCTTTCGAACTGCTAGGTTGGCAGGAACAGGGACTGAGCAATGGGAGCTAACCCCATCACGGGGATTTGAACCGCCAACCTTCTGATCAGCAAGTCCTAGGCTCTGTGGTTTAACCCACAGTCAAAGACCAGGGTAAAAACGTGCATCTGTAGTCCCTCCAGACAGCAATAATATAATATTTTTGAGGAAGGATCCCTGCACTGCTAATGAGGCAGACTAAAACCACCACTATTTCACTTTCTTTGTGTCAATAACATGTTGCATAATGCACTTGCCTGAAAATGCTGACCTGGAGGGGCCCTTACACTCTGAAAAGCGGAATAACTCCAAGGTTGCAGGTTCAATCCCCATATGGGATGGCTGCATATTACTACATTGCAGGGGCTGGACTAGATGACCCTTAGGGGTCAACTCTGCAACTCTGATTCTGATTACTGAAACCAATTTATTGCCAAGTGTTGGCTTGAGTAGAGAAACGGGCCAGGTTTAGATAGATGCATTTTCCAAGGACGTTTTCATTTACTCTAGTGGCCAGCTGTTCAAACTGTTTTAAACTGGCCCCATCGCTTTATGGTTCCTCTGTTTTTAGATGTCACACAGGTGCTTTAGAAAAGACATTCCATCCAAGACAAGATGTGGGAAAGGGGCGTCCTCTCTTAAGAAGGGGCTTTGCTACCTGAATATACGCACTTACAAATCATATATTGGGTTGTAGTCCACTAAGTCAGTGTTTCCCAACCGGTGTTCCGCGGCACACTAGTGTGCCGTGAGACGTTGCCTGGTGTGCCGTGGGAGGGAGGCGGGGCGGGGGCGGCGAGGATCCGCGTCGAGCCGGGGGCGGCTCCGCGGTGGTGGTGCCGAGGTTTCTCTCTCCATTCTCCCCTCACACACACACACAGGAAATAACACAGGATCAGCTGACAGGACCCGGCCAATGGGGCGGCGGCGGGGCAGCGCGCGCAAAAGGGAGGAGCGCGAGACAGCGGATGAGGAGGAGGCCGGCATGTCCGGGCAGCAGCAGCAACAACAGCAGCAGCAACTCCCGGCGACGGCTCCTCAAGCCCCGGGCAACCCTACTCCCTCACCGGCCTCAGCCGCCCTCCTGCTCCACCCGCCGCCGCCTCCCCCGCCGCCGCCGGCCACCTCGGCCCCGCTGCCGCCCCCTCCTCCGCCCGCTATCGCCGCCACCACCACAACAGCCGCCGCCGCCTCAGCTGGGCCCATGCCTGCCGGGAGCGGCGGCGGCAGCAGCAGCAGCAGCAGCGCCCCGGCGCCCTTCCCTCACGGCGGCGACCCGGCCCTGAACGAGCAGGAGAAGGAGCTCAAGCGGCGCCTCAAGCGGCTCTACCCGGCCGTGGACGAGCAGGAGACGCCGCTGCCGCGCTCCTGGAGCCCGAAGGACAAATTCAGCTACATCAGCCTCTCGCAGAACAACCTGCGCGTCCACTACAAAGGTAGAGGGACGGAGGGAGGCCGAGGCCGAGGCCACCGCCATCCCCAGGCCCCCTCCGCCTCTTCCTCCGAAAGGCAGGCTGAGAAACTCCCAGGGAAGCTCTGAACGTCTCCCCCAAAACCGTCGGGAGGCTTCGGTTGTTGCCTTTCTCCGCCGAGGTCGGTGGACCCCGAGCCTAGGCTTCCTTCCCGCACCCCGCTTTCCGAAGACCGCACACCAGTTGGGCCAGTACATATTCCCCTCCCGTGACTGGAGCGGAATAGCCCTTTCTCTTCTTCCCCAACCCTTGTCGTTGGAGGAGTCCCTCAGTCCCTCGCTTTGCTGCCTCCTCCCCCCCCCACCCCCAAAGCTTGGAGGTTCCCCGGCAAGGGGGAGGAAAACAAATTGAAACTTACACTTTCGTGCGTCCCTCCCGGCGTGACGCTGCGCGCTGACGTCACGGGGCTGTAATGGTGGTGTGCCTCGAGATTTTTTTCATCAAACAAGTGTGCCTTTGCCCAAAAAAAGGTTGGGAAACACGACTTCCGGGTTGGCGCGATCCGGGAATGGCGGATTCCCTCCGAGCTCCGGAGGGAATCGGCTCAGCGGTGGATGGGTCTTTGCCGTGCCGGCGACACGGGGACCCTTAAAAACCGCAGGTGCAGATGCCTGCGGACTGAAGACTCGGCGGGTGCCTTAAGCGCCCCCCCTGATTCGCGAAGAGCCTTTTTAAAGGCTATGGAGGGGATACGGGGGACGGCGCGGCACTGAGAGTCGATCGCTACCGCCGCTGAGCGAAGCCGCGAGCCATAACCGGAGAGCGCTGACTTCCTTCCTTGAAATTTGGATTGAAAAAAGAACCCGTGAGTAATTTGGAACTGAGCTTTAAAAACCTTTACCTTTTGAATTTGAGACGACCGGGGGTGTGCCAAAAGGAAGTCCCCATCCCCCCCCCTTGCAGACGATCCAGAGCAACGATATAAGAGCTAAGCTGGAGTGCCCACCCTGTAAAGGGTGAGTTTTAAAAAAGACAGTAACTTCCAAGATTTGGAAAAGCAAATTTAAGCAGGAGAGTGGAGTGTTGGAAGAGTTTTTGTTTTGTGGTAAACAACCCTCCCTCCCGAGCCCGGGAGCGATCTGCTTTGGAGCCTGTATAGAGGAGCAGAATTTGACAGCTGTCAAAGCTGTCAAATGGACTGTTAATACTGAAAAAATTGCTACTTAAGACCTCTCCGGATAAAAAGGAGTTACAATTGAACAAAAATTTTGGGAAACAAAGAAACAATAATAGGACAGAGGATTGTTGGAGAAAAGACCATCCAGTAACCAGATTCCCTCTAGGGGGAATTCTGTGGAATTACAATGGCTGTGGGTGGAAAGTTACTGAGAGAAATCGAAAGGATGTTTTCACTGGTGGGAACCTTACAGGAGCAGACTACAGCTATGAGTAAACAATTGACGGCCTTGGATTTGGAAACAAGTAGCTCTGCTGAATGTAATGAGGACTTGAATGAGAAAGAACCCACAGCTGAATTTGAAATAATAAACAAAGAAGAGGAGAAGACAAAACAAGAAAGAGAACAAGTTATGTGGGAAAATACTAACCAGAAGCCGATATTTGGAGAATACAAACAAGGAGACCATTGGATGGAATCTATTCCAAGCCTACGAAAGATACAGAAGATGAAAGTGGAGGCCCTGGGAGTTTATGGAACTCAGGAACTCGAAATAAAGAAGTACAATTGGGGCCTCCACATAGACTTTGATTTTGACCATCACCAAGACTCAGGCCTTGTGGAAATTCCTCAGCAGTTGCTTATAAATATGGGAAGAGACTATGGACCGATTGGATTGAATGTTAATGAAATCTTTCGAGACTCGATGACTGACAAAGAGGACTACCAACAAAACCGGTGGAGAGGGACTGAAATAGATTTGAGAGCCTCGGATGTGCGGAATCCAGGCTAAAAACTGTTATTTTGGACATGTCTTGGGAAAGGACGCAAAGCGGGGATGGGAGGGAGGGAAGCATAAACTTAAATAACACTCAAGACCAGGGGTTTAGTAATAAGGAATTACTCAAGAAAAAATGAGAAATCGAGGGAAGAGAATTGGGGTCCAACTTAGGGAAAACTTATTTTTTGTTTCTATAAAAGGACTAATATTAAGAAGGAAGAAATGCTAACTTGCTGACATAAACTTGGGAACAGGGATGCAAGGGAGGGGGTGGGGGGAAGTCAAGGACTAGGGTTAGAAAATAAGACTTTTTGGAACTATTCATGTTTGCTGTTGTTTTTTTTTATGTTTGTTTTGGTGTTATGTGTTTTGTTTTTGTCTATATAAAATGTGAAAACCCAATAAAAATTATTATAAAAAAAAAAAAAAAGGTTGGGAAACACTGCACTAAGTCCTACTCAGAGTAGATACGTTGAAATGAATGAAACTGCCAGTCATGTCCATTAACTTCAATGCATCTACTCTGAATAGGACTGGCATTGTTTTAAATCCTCTGCTCAATTATCTCAGACAACCTTCTCGTCTAATCTGAAGGTTGCATTCAAAGTGGCTTGCAGCCCAAATATCCATGCCTGACCCTTTCTTACCACGTATGCCTGAGTTAGAGAAGCCACCATTGGAAGAGACTATCCACTTTTCACCATTCTGTACCTGAAGGGCAAGGGATGCGGGTGACGCTGTGGTCTAAACCACTGGCCCTAGGGCTTGCCGGTCAGAAGGTCGGTGGTTTGAATCCCTGCGACGGGGTGAGCTCCCGTTGCTCGGTCCCTGCTCCTGCCAACCTAGCAGTTTGAAAGCACATCAAAGTGCAAGTAGATAAATAAGTACTGCTCCGACGGGAAGGTAGACGGCGTTTCCGTGTGCTGCTCTGGTTCGCCAGAAGCAGCTTAGTCATGCTGGCCACATGACCCGGAAGCTGTATGCCGGCTTCCTCGGCCTGTAAAGCGAGATGAATGCCGCAACCCCAGAGTCATCTGTAACTGGACCTAATGGTCAGGGTCCCTTTACCTTTACTTTACCTGAAGGGCAAACACTTCTTTCCCTGGAACATCTCTGCATGAACAACAGCAGCTGTTAAAAAATGTTCCCACGGCAGTGCTTGTGAACTTCATGCTACAGTTGCTAGGATTCTGTAACTTGGTCCCTTTCCCCCCTGGGAAAATGACTGGCAGATGTGATGGAGCAAATTAAAATTCCCATTTTCTGACCACATAAAATCCTCTAAAACAGAGCTCCTACATGCTCTGTCCAGGATGTGGCTTTCCCTCCTTTAGGACAATTATGAGTGACCTGTGACCCTCCAGATGTTGGAGGGCTACTGCTCACATCAGCCCCAGCCAGCATGGGCAACGGTCAGAGACGGTGGCAGCTTCCGTGAAGGTTTTGAAGCAGAGGTTGGAAGGCCATCAGTCACGGATTATTTACCTGTGATTCCTTTGTTGCAAGGATTTGGACTAAATGACTCTTAGGGTCCCTTGCAACTCTGCAATTCTATGATTCTGCGATTCTATGCAGTGCAGCAACATCTGGAAAGCCACAAGTTCCCACCCATGTATTAGAGCTCTGCCAAAGGCAGAGGGCTCCTCTGCACTTCCACTTTTCCAGTGCGTGAAAGTTTTTGCTTCCAATTCCTTTCCTACAGTCTTGCAGGGATTGTTTGAAAAAGAAGGGGAAGGGTGAAGCACGTGATGTTGCAAAAGCAATCAAATCTGAAAGCTTGGGAGCAGATTTCTGCTTCTTGAAGCGATGGAAGACCTTAGGCCCAGGGAACACATGTGGCCCTCAAGCCTTCTCTACCTGGCCCTTGGAATCCTTTATTCTCCTACTTTGTATCCCCAGTTTTTCATTGGCTGGAATGTGCATCAATTTCTGGTGCATGTGCCCAGAAGGAAGGGGCACAGAGGGTCAACAGAACCCACTGAACCTTGCCTCCAATGCTGCCAGGTGCCCACGCACAAGGCTTGGAGGATTCCTGGAGCCCGCATACCAGCTTAGCCCTGGTCACCCATGCAGGGAGGAACCTGGCGGGCCAACGCAGCCCTTGGCAGGCAAATCTCATGCCCTCCGATGATGGCCAGGCAGACATTCAGCAAGAGGGCTGGGGATGCGGCGGGCAGAGCAGGACGGGGGATCCCTGCGTGGGGGCACCTGGTCATAGCCCCTAAAATTATGCGCCCAGGGCTGTGGTCCCCCTGCCCCCATCACACTATGTCCCTGACCCAGGCTACATCTGGAGGGAGGAAACACAACACATCTGCTGACTGTTGCCCTGCTCCAGAGCTCTGCCTTGCCAACAGAGTAGACCCAGCCAGCCTTCCCAGGGAGGAAAATTGCAACCCTTCCTCGACACCCATCACTCAGGGCACAGACATCCACAATCAGCTGATAATAGCACACATACTCCCATCTCTCTTGGCGTCAGGCAACTGAAGGAATGGTCCTTGAATGAGATAGAATTTTCTTGTTCGCTCTTGTTCATTCTGTGGCTGAGCAGACTTCCCATGAAGTGAAATGAAACACGTTCCATCTTCACTCTAGTGTGGCTCCAGGCAACGGGTTTGTCAAATTTTACAATTCTCCCGTATCCAGGCTCTCCTTACAAACCCAACTGTGAAGTTCGTGGCAGTTACACTCGCTCCAGTTTTTTTCTCTAGATGAAGGAATAATGGAAGCACAATCTTCCTCTGAGTCTCCATAGTTCTCCCAGCTGTTGGGATTGCCAGCAGACCAGTACCTGGGGGTGCAGGAGGGTTTGTATTATAAAATCGGAAAAAAGAGGCTGAGCCTAACAAAGCTAGGGTTGCTATATGTCCAGATTTTCCTGGACACTTCCTCTTTTTCATGGTTAATTTTTTTGTCCAGGTGGATTTTTAAAATTTTGCAAATCCATGTTTTTGGTTTTCATCCCCCCCCCCAAAAAAAAGTTCAGCCAAAGCATTGCAACTGGCAACCCAACTGAGCGCTAGGCATGGCTTCTGGAACAAGACAGGTGGGTACCGCCCCCCAACATAAATCCTGTCTATGCCCATGCTTTGTGTTATGTCCACTCGCTGTGGAGGAGCCATGTAGACTTTGAAGGAGACAGTAAAATGGTGGTCCTAGGGAGGTAATGCTCAGATCTCCCATCCACAACCCTCCCCAGCAAAGAACACTCTCCTTTCTGCCAATGAGGTCCTACAAATTCTAAAGGTAACTTCTCTCTTGCTGGGGCCTGAGCACTTAGGACCGGCACCCCAAATGAAGGGGACCCTAAGTTCTGCTACAGAGTTTGCAAGAAATGGTGCAGTCATCTCAGACATGCAGAAGCATCACCTCCTGGGGTATGGTTTTGTAGACTCACTGTGTTATTAATCTGGACCCATCTGTCCACTCCCAGTTGCCTTCCTCGCTTTCATCTGTAAGGCCAATCCAGGCAGGAGTGGTGAGTTGAGAAGTGATGTAGGTCTGCAGGAAGAGGGAAGTGGAATTCAGCATCATGGCAATAAAGAGATACGAGCATTCCTGGGCTTCCATATGTCCTTTGCTCCATGATGTCTTTTTCATAATCCTTGACAAGTAAACCCACATTATGTGCTAAGCAATTAAATGGGCTTCTTGACCTTCATGAACAATTCACACCACTTGCACATCCATCACCAAATCTCAGAATTGCCAAAAAAAATTAGGGAGAATGTAGGGTAGGCAAACTAAGGCCCAGGGGACGGATCCGGCCCAATCACCTTTTGCCAATCCGGCCCACGGACGGTCCGGGAATCAGCCTGTTTTTACATGGTTGGAATGTGTCCTTTTATTTAAAATGCATCTCTGGGTTATTTGTGGGGCATAGGAATTTGTTCATTATTTTTTTCCAAAATAGAGTCTGGCCCCCCACAAGGTCTGAGGGACAGTGGGTCAGCCCCCTGCTGAAAAAGTTTGCTGACCCCTGCTCTAGGGTGCCCAAGCAATGAGGCCCACCATCACCTGCTGGGATTCACCATCACTTCATGTGCACAGTGGCGTAGCGTGGGGAGTGCAGGGGGGGCCGGCATCACCGGGCGCAACATCTGGGGGGCGCGCTCGCACTCAAGTGCTAAAATCCACAGGTTAGGGGGCGCAAATTACTTGCCTTGCTCCGGGTGCTGACAACCCACGCTACGCCACTGCATGTGCAAATGGGATCGTGCTCAAAACCACATTCTTTTGTGGTGACACATTTCAGGACAGGATCTCTGGCAGACCAGGGTTTGTGGTGTGTGGATAGGAAGAAGGTACAGCAGTATTTGCAAGAAGTCCTGAAGTATTTGCATGTGACAGTTAAAAGACAGTCAGAAAAATACAGGCATTGGAGAAGATGCTAATAAACCCCAAATAGCAAGAGAGAAAGAAGAACAATATATATATTGTTCAGTATACATGAGGCATAACAGTATCCCTAAAGGAGCATCTCCACCCCCATCATTCAGTCTGGGCACTGAGGTCCTCTTCTGATAATCTTCTGGTGGTTCCCTCCCTGTGAGAAGTGAAGCTACAGGGAACCAGGCAGAGAGCCTTCTTGGTAGTGGTGCCTGCCCTGTGGAATGCCCTCCCATCAGATGTCAAGGAAATAAACAACTATCTGACTTATAGAAGACATCTGAAAGCAGCCCTGTTACGGAAAGTTTTTAATGTTTGGTATTTTATTGTTTTTAATATTCTGTTGGGAGCTGCCCAGAGTGGCAGGGGAATAAATTATTATTATTATTATTATTATTATTATTATTATTATTATTATTATACCTGTTCTTCATCAGTCAGGATGGAGGCCAAATGGGCATCTCTGGACATGCAGAAGTTCTCGGCGTCATACCAGGTCTTTTTCCCTTTTGAAACGTAGTAGAGATTCTTCCCAAAAAGCTTCCAGCCACCAGAAGACTTTGCACCTTTCTTGAAGAGGTTTTCTAGGAGGAATTAATGCAAAGACTTTAACATACCTGGCACTGTGTTGCATGTAGACTAAGGACAGTTCTGGGATTTGGGGAAGAGTCGCCCTCTCAGCCTGGCTTACCTCAAAACATTTTGCTTGGGGAATGGACTCAGTCGGTTGACCCAACACATGCTTTGAGCTTTTAGGAGGAAGGAAATGACCCCCAAGACAATAAACATTGTCTCAAAGTGTTCTCATTGGAAAGGTTCAGGTGGGAAGATTTTGATCAAACTTGAGAGGCACTTATAATCATTGTCTATGAGGCTGGTGATGGTCATGACCCAGGATATTGATTCAGAATCCTCAGCATTAGAAGACTCTGTCCCAGAAAGAGTTTAAACACATTCCCTAGAGCTCTTGTGTTGGGGAATTGCTGAAGAACCCTCTCCTGCGGCAGCAGTGATAAGAACACGGGCCCCATGGTTCCTTCATCACCTTGTAGTAATGAAACCATACCATATAAGGTTTTGACCTACTGAGCATGCTTGGACTGTGGTCAGACTATGCTCAGTAACTGGAATGAAATACTATACAGTCATACCTCGGGTTACAGACGCTTCAGGTTGCGTTTTTTCGGGTTACAGACCTGCCGAAACCCGGAAGTACCGGAACAGGTTATTTCCGGGTTTCGGTGGTTGTGCATGCACAGAAGCACTAAATTTTGCTTTGCACATGCGCAGAATCACCGAATCACAACCCATGCGTGTGCAAACGTGGCGCTGCAGGTTGCAAATGCTGCAAGTTGCAAATGTGCATCCCGCACGGATAACGTTCGCAACCCGAGCATCCACTGTACTGAGGTGAAATCTAATCCTGCAATAAAAGTCCATGGGGAAGCTCCTTTGTTTAAAATGGTAGTCAGCACGCATGCTCACACTGTTTGCAATTTGGACTGCTCATAGGGAGACAGCTGTGGGGAGGGAAACTATTGGATAGGAAATGTAAACTTAATGGAATGTGTGGAATTTGTGCCAAATGTATAAAACTGTTTGGAACGCTTTGTCCGGGGCCAGTTAATTTGGGGAAACATACCTGGTGGTCCTTTCTGCACAGAAATAAAATACAAATACGACTCCTTCACCACCCACTGACTCATGTGATTTTTGGTATATCAACAAGACAGGGCAAGCTTTGATTGCAACAACCTGACCCAGTTCAGATTACTGAACACCACGGCCTGCTCACTGGAAGCTTCTAGAATCCCATGTCTATCATCACACTGTTTTCAGAGAAGGCACACTCCCAATTTCAGCTGCTTGGCACTGACCAGGAGCCCGGCCTTTCAAGGAACAACCAGGCTCACTTTAAGTTTCTGGTGTTGTGTATGACATCAGCTGTGAGGCAGGTGGAAGTTGTTTGTGGGAAAATGACCTCATTGGGACCCATATCAGCCCTTATCAATGAAGACCTTTTTTATTTCAGCAGGCATCTTACTGATTTTAAAGCTAATTTTAACTATTTTACCTCTATCGTATCAATATTATAACCTTTTTGTAGCCTGCTTAGAGACTACAGTGGATGCTTTAGTTGAGATTCCTCGAGTTCCCTTCCAACTCTACAGTTCTATGATTCTAAGCAGTATATATATTGTTGAAATAAACAGGCCTGTGGGTCAGAGGTTCCCCGCTACTGGTTTAGAGAATTTATGTCAAACCAAAACCTTGAATATTAAATAGACTCTTAAAAAGTTACCCTGGCTGCTTGAGCTATATGATCTTTGGTGGCTGCATGTGAGACAAGCTGTAACCTTTGAACCACCTTGAAGGACAGCCCATAGCTGTCAACTTACAGATTTGAAAATAAGGGACCAGCAGCCTTGAAAATAAGGGATCAGCAGCCAAAATAAGGGATTTTCCGGGCACAGGTACGTTCAACTTCTGAGCCCCTCCGAGCCAAAGGCAGAAAGCCCATCCAGCAGCCAAACGAAGCCTCAAGTGGTGGTTCCCACAGCACAGCAACCCAGCAAAGGGGATGCAGCAAGGAAAACCACCGTCCCCTCTCCGCTGGGAAGCACTGAGCAAAGGCGAGTCCCCAGGCAACACGGCCGACTTGATCGGCACAAGGCATGCAAGCTCCACCCCCCCAGTCATTCTTAGACTCCTTATTGGGTGAGCAACGCAGCCAAGCAACACAGTTGGAGCCTCCCTCCTACCTGGCCAGCAGGGAGGGAGGGAGAGGAGCTGCTTCCTTTGAAACCCAGGAAATTTAAGGGACATCATCAATCCAGGACAGCAGCGGGACACAGCTCTGGGATAAGGGAGTTTCCCGCCAAATAAGGGACGGTTGACAGCTATGGGACAGCCCCACATTGAACACGTTGAAAAAGTCTGCCCTGGAGGTTATTAGAGGGTGAACCATCCCCATCCTGGAACAACCAGACTCCACATAACTGAAGACATCTGAGCTTCTGGTAACAAGCTGGATTCTAATAGTATCCCAAGACTACAGACCTAATCCTTCCGAGGGGTGGAGGGGCATACATTCAGAACAGGCTGCCTACTCAATTCCCAGATTGAGGAACTATCATTCCACAGCACCTTCATCTTGCCAAAATTCAGCCTCCATTTACTGGTCGCTATCCATCTAGCCCATCACTGTCTTCAAACACTAATCAAGCACATGCGCTTCTCCACCTGACTCAGATGACAAGGATAAATAGAGCTGGGTATCATCAGCACACCGGTAACACCATGACCCTAATCCCCTAAAGACCTCGCCCAACAACCTCAAGATGTTAAGCACTGTTGTTTTCTGCTAGCTAACACATGAGTGTTTAACCTTAGATCAGGTGACAAAGGTATTTGGCTGAAAATCTCCATTTTGAAAGGGAGTTGCCTTTAGTCTTCATTTCTAGATCTCTGAGGAAGTAAGGGTGTTTAAATGTCTCTGCAGGAAATCAACTCCAGGCAAAATGGAGGCCATAAGGAGAGAGACCTTTTAAAAAATAGTTATGTTTGGAGTTATATTTTATTTCTATGATGCTTTGTCTGTGCTGCACAGCACAAGATATTAATGGAATTATGTGGGCGTATCTTTGATGCTTTTTATCTGTTTTGAAGACAGTTCTGCAAGTAAAGTTTTTGAATAATATCTAATAGGTCTGGGCAAAAAGAGTCAGTTTTTATGCATCCGGTCACTTCAAACTGCACAATGTTAATATCTGCAATATAACCCACAGTATCACATTTAAGCTCATCTAAGTTTGCTCGCCTTTATATTCCCAAAATGTGCCATGGCACCATATTGAGGGTTGAAGGCACTTACGGTACTTTACTTTCCGCTCATTGTAGAGGTTTTCGGCATCTGCTATGTGCTGTGGCAGGTTCGTGACTTCTTCAGCTACCTTCATGGCTGAAAGCATCCCCAAACTTAGATGAAGGTTTCTTTTCTCCCACCCAACACTTCCATTTATTTAAATAACTGTCTCCCACCTTCCTATCTCACCCAAGGAAACAAACAAATCAAGTGTAAAAAAAAACCAAAGCTAAAACAGTTGATAGCTTAAAGAACATTAGCAAAAACCCAAAATAGCCTCCAAAATCAAAATAAGGACCCCCAGAGTGGATGGGTCAACCTAGCCAGATGGGCGAGGTACAAATAATAAAATTGGCAGTGGTGGTGGTTTTTAAGGTGAACAAATAAGTTCTTCAGCAGTTCTGAAGTCATAGACCAATCAGAATCATGTGTCAGAGGATGACACTTTAGATATTCACCTTATTCCTTATTAAGATCATTAGACAAAGACTAGAAAATATGAGAGTGTGATTCCTACCCCCAAATATGAACAGAGTTTGCACTGATTTCACCTTGCTGTCTAAATATTACAGATACAATTTCTCTACCTGGACTAAATCTGCATCTGCCCTGTTTCCATCCGCAACATGCAGAAAGCTGAAGGAAAAGATGGATATCCTAAAGAAGATAGTTCACTGCATCCACCAATAATCAGCACTAAGGACTAGAATCCTGAAGCAGAGCCAAAGCACAGGAAGGAAGGAGCCTGTATACAGATGTAGAGCTCACCCACACATCCATGTGAGTCGTGCCTAGAAAACACTGCTCTGAATGTTTTTTCCGCTTGGGTCCAAGCAATTTTGCCTTTGGCCCACCACTTTCCCCCAGAAAACCCACTCTAGTGCTAAATCGGTGCAAACATCAATCTGGAGAAAACCAGATTGACGTTTGCTCTGATTCAGTGGCAAACAGCCAGTTTCCCTTGGGGGAAAATGGCAAAGCAAGTGGAAGTGTGGGTGAGCCCTCATTCAAAAGATCAGTATGAAGTAAGCAGCATATAAGCAGCACACAAAACACTACCGAGCCATTCTACATTCTAAATCTTATATTAATAATCCAAAATTTGAGAGAACAAGGTACAAGATCTACTACAGAAGCCACAAATAGAAAACTCATTCAACTTGTGTCCAAAACGAAGATTCAGATTCAGAGTCTTGGGCTTCTTCAGTAAATTCTCTCTCTCAGTTTTGATATACAGTGGTACCTTGGGTTAAGTACTTAATTCGTTCCGGAGGTCCGTACTTAACCTGAAACTGTTCTTAACCTGAAGCACCACTTTAGCTAATGGGGCCTCCTGCTGCTGCCGCAATGCCGGAGCACGATTTTTGTTCTCATCCTGAAGCAAAGTTCTCAACCCAAGGTACTATTTCAGGGTTAGCAGAGTCTGTAACCTGAAGCGTATATAACCTGAAGCGTATGTAACCCGAGGTACCACTGTATTTATAAACATTCAAGTCCATATGTTACATTCCTTCTTGGCTTAAGCTACAAATTTTAGTTTCTTTCTTCAGGAAATTCTCCCTTTTGGTGTATTTACATACATTGGCTTAGCAAATGAATAAATGTTTAAGTCAAGAAAGAACTTAGCATATGAAGTTGAATGTATGTAAATACACCAAAATCTCGAGGGAGAATTTCCTGAAGAAACTAAATTTTGTAGCTTAAGCCAAGAAGGAATATAACATATGGACTTGAATGTCTATAAACATATCAAAACCGAATTTACTGAAGAAGCCCAAGACTCTTCAAGGGCGAAACAGGTGACCAACGCCAGCACCCTGTCTAACTCTCATGCGTAACATCACCAACACTGTTTGATCAAACTTACCTTTGTTGATATCTACAGGAGCCTGGCTTAAGGAACTTTAAAGACTGAATCTTCCTTTTGGACACAATTTGAATGAGTTTTCTGTTTGTGGCTTCTGTAGTAGGTCTTGTACCTTGCTCTCTCAATTTTTGGATTATTGATATAAGATTTAGAACGTAGAATGGCTCGGTAGTGTTTTGTGTGCCGCTTATGTGCTGCTTACTTCACACTGGTCTACTACAAGAATTGGCAGCATGGGTTCATTTCTTCAGTACTCATTCCAAAGGTGGCTTCCATATTTCCTATTGATGGAAAGTGAGATCCTAAGTTTCTTTTAAGTTTGAACTGGATGTCTTGTGGCATAGTTCCCACACAGCCAGGTCAAGTTCTTTCTAGGTTCTCTCTTGTTCTCTACCTTCTGTTGAGGCTTTGGGGGGGCAGGGGGTGTTCTAAAACAACCAGAAACAGATGGCTATTGTCTTTCCACTTACGATTTTCAGTCATGAGTTCGTTATTTCTTAGCCCAGTTGCCATTGCGGTCCTCAGTTTGTCCATTGGCTGATCAAGTGGGCTCTCCTTTTCTTTATTCATCTTATAAACTAAAGGCATTGAAACAAATGCAGGTAATTTTAATGTGAAGCTGTTAAAAGCTTACACCTAAATAACCTTTCCCCATCTCCCTGCATGCACACGTCCCCCCAAAAAAGTGAAGATACCTTCTTCAGAGTTTGCTTCACTATGCCCAGGACTGCCTAAGTGAGGTTATAGGGAACCAGGCAGAGGGCCTTCTTGGTGGTGGCACCTGCCCTGTGCAAAGCCCTCCCATCAGATGTCAAGGAAATAAACAACTGACTTTTAGAAGGCATCTCAAGGCAGCCCTGTTTAGGGAAGTTTTTTATGTTTGATGTTTTATTGTGTTTTTAATATTCTGCTGGGAGCTGCCCAGAGTGGCTGGGGAAACCCAGCCAGATGGGCGGGAAATAAATAATACATTATTATTATTATTATTATTATTATTATTATTAGAGAAAGGTCTCAAACAGGGATCTTTACCCAATATCCTTTTAAACAGACCTTTTCAATTAAATAAATAAATAGACAGAATTTATATACGACGTGATTGTAACAAAACACTTTAGTGGTTTGCAAGAAATGTCAAGAATATCAATGAAAACAGTTCAAAACAAGTAAATTAAGACATTTAAATAATAATAATTAAAATCAGCAGTAAGCCAAAAAGAAATCAAGAAACATCAGCATCTACGTTTGCCTAAACAAAAATGTTGTAAGTGGGCAGCAAAAAGAATACAGCGAAGGAGCTTGCCTGATATCAATGGGCAGGGAATTCCAAAGTGAAGGTGCTGCCACACTAAAATAATGATTTCTTAAGAGTATTGTTTAGCATAAGGTTACCAGATTTTTTTCAATGAATCCGGGGACACTTTAAATAAATAAATACATGCATGCATACTAACGTTCAGGATGTTGATGCTGCAGCGATGGCGGTGGCAGAGGGAAGGGAGGCTTCATACTGCCTGTCGGAGCAGCCCCATCCCAACTCCTACTCGGGTGCAAGCAGGAGGGGGCAGGGATCTCTCAGGCAGTGCAATGCCTCCCTTCCCATCGGAGCATCCCCAATCCCATTCTTACTTGCGTGCAAGCAGGAGAGGGCGGGGATCCCTCAGCTGGGAAGGGAGGCTTCCCTTTGCCTAACTGAGAGATCCCTGCCCCCTCCTGCTTGCACGCAAGTAGGAGTTTGGAGGCTGCTCCGATAGGCATCGTGAAGCCTCCCTTCGCAGCTTAGTTGCTGGGGTCAGGGAAGGTGGAGGCAGCCCGGAAGCTGCACCTTTGAGCCCCTGCACCACCATCATATGGGGACTTCCGAACAGCTCCTGAAGCCAGCCAGAGCCAACTGCTCCGGGATGCTGAGACTGCCGCTGCTGCGTTTCCCGGGGACATTAGATGAAATCCGGGGACATTCCGGGGATGGAATTTGTCCGGAGACTTATTCGCAAATCCGGGGACTGTCCCCGGGAAAGGGGGATGTCTGGTAACCCTAGTTTAGCACCTGTAAAGTGTATGTTCTTCCATTCAAAGCAGCAGAATTGGCATATATTGGGTAAGATAATAATAATAATAATAATAATAATAATAATAATAATAATAATAATAAATTTTATTTATACCCCACCCTCCCCGGCCAGAGCCGGGCTCAGGGCGGCTAACACCAGTGAAATCACAATAAAAACATAATAGGGGAGGGGGAAAGAAACAATTTAAAATACAGGTTAAAATACAATTTAAAATGCAGCCTCATTTTAATAGTAGCTAGCCCATAGTTCAAAACCATAAGGGGAGGGAAACATAAGGGTCAGACCGAGTCCAAACCAAAGGCCAGGTGGAACAACTCCATCTTGCAGGCCCTGTGGAAAGATGTCAATTCCTGCAGGGCCCTGGTCTCTTGGGACAGAGCGCTCCACCACGTCAGGGCCAGTGCTGAAAAGGCCCTGGCCCTAGTTGAAACCAATCTAACCACCTTGCGACTTGGGACCTCCAAAGTGTTGTCTTTTGTGGACCTTAAGGTCCTCCGCGGGGCATACCAGGAGAGGCGGTCCCATAGGTACGTGGGTCCTAGGCCGCATATCCCACCAGCAAACCCGTCCCAAGCTGTTAAGGGCTTTTCATACCATAAGTAAAACTTTGCACTTGGCGGGCAAAACTAGGCTTCTTTCACCTGGATCAAAGACCCAGTTTAGTACACAGAGAGAGTGAGAGTCTGGGAGCCTCAATGGCACCCATCTGAAGGCTTCACCCAGGGCAAAAAAAACCTGGCTAGCTCCTCGCCCCCAAAGCTACATCTCTGCACCTGGCATGGTAACAACACAGCAAAAAGTGCAAATCTCTGAACAGAGGTGTTACATGCGAACAGGACTCACTCCTATTGGCAAGTGTAGCTACAGTGTTCCGAACTCACTGCAGTTTCCGGATCAGGCCCAAGGGAAGCCCCAGGTGGATTGCATTGTAGCAATCCAGCCTTGGTCACCAATGCCTGAACTGTTGTGCTCAGACTCTGGTGGTCACGCAGAGCTCCTCCGCACGAGGAGGGATCAATATGTGCTTGATCAGCCGCACGGTTTACGGAGGGCATCGCTGACGTGCGCAACGTCAGCCAGGAAGAAAGTGCGGCGCCCGCTTGCTAGCACACTGTTACGGCCTGGGAATCAGATTCAGAGGCTGAACCTGAGGAATCCCAGCCTGCACAGGAGTCCCCGCCTCCAGGACCAGCTGAGCCAGGCCTGGGGCTTGAACTTGAAGGGCCCTCACCTGTGCCGGATCCTCAGGAGCAGGTACCAGCTGAATCTGCTCTGGCTCCGGAGGTGATGGAGGACCCATTGCCTGCAGATGCTCCACTCTCAGCCCTGTCAGGGGAAGGTGAGGCTGCCTCTGGGTCCGGTCACCCTCCAGCCTCTCCTGAGCTGCAGAGGCTCAGGACAGAGAGGCGGAGGGAACTAAGTTGTCTCAGGAGGAGTGCTCACCTTAAGGCCAGGAGAGGTGAGTCACCTGTGGGCCGAGACCACCCTAGGCCTCAGAGGAGATATAAGCCAGTCAGCCCAGTCCCAGGTTGCGGGAGCAACATCGTTGGTAACCTGTTCCTGCCAGCACCCTGACCTGCTCTCCTGAGTTCCTGACCACGCCCAACTCCTCGCTTTGGACCTTGCTTCGCCCCTGATGGACAGCCTCCAGACCCTCGACCCAGGACCGGACTCAGACCACGCTGCACGGTAAACCCCCCCCCCCCCGGGACAAGCACACACACCAATATACAGTACAAGGTAAAGTCAGCAAGAATGCAGGCAGTGCAGATTGGTCAAGAGGTGATTTGAGTGAACTTACAGAGGAAAGCCGTGGTGACCAAGACACAAAAGCAGATGAAGGCAAAAATCCCGAGAAATATCCATCCAACCTTGAGAGGAATTCGCCAGCGTGGTTTCGGTTTGGTCGGAGGAGCAGCACCCGGTTTACCTTTTGCTGCCGCTGCAGCCGCTGCTCCTGCTGGTGGCGCTGCTCCTGCTGCTGCTGGTGGTGTTGGTGCCGCCGCCGCCGCCGGCTTGGGGGCCATGGCTCAAATGACAAGAAGAAACACCCATGAAGACAATGGATCAGAGGACAAGTTCACCATCAGGCCTCTAACATTGAACTGAATTTATTATTTCGGTCACAGACCAGTTCCAGGCCACATACAATATCAAGGAAGTCATAAAACACAATAGGGATACATTTGAATTTGCAATTGGTTATAACAGGGACACTACAGATATAGCAACAGTTTAAAAATATATAAATTAAAACTTAGTCACTAACATATCACTTAAAATTATCATTTGAGGCCTTAATCATTATGATAGCACAGCTTGTCCCCTACGTTTTATGGCAAACACACAGAATTTGGCTACCCTTAACGTGATCTTAACGTGATGATGCGGGTGGCACTGTGGGTTAAGCCACAGAGCCTAGGACTTGCCGATCAGAAGGTCGGCAGTTCGAATCCCCGCAACGGGGTGAGCTCCCATTACTTGGTCCCTGCTCCTGCCAACCTAGCAGTTCGAAAGCACATCAAAGTGCAAGTAGATAAATAGGTATTGCTCCGACGGGAAGGTAAATGGCATTTCCGTGCGCTGCTCTGGTTCGCCAGAAGCGGCTTTGTCATGCTGGCCACATGACCCGGAAGCTGTACGCCGGCTCCCTTGGCTAATAAAGTGAGATGAGCGCCACAACCCCAAAGTCGGCCACGACTGGACCTATTGGTCAGGGGTCCCTTTGCCTTTTAATGTGATCTCAGGATCCTTGTCATCTACCCGGGATTTTAGACATTGAAGTTCGGATTCATCTGGAGATTTTTGCATAGCAGGGGTAATAAATACCGAGCGTATATCCCCGTAGAAATGGCAACGTAACAAGGCATGAGAGACAGTTTCTACCTCCATCAAGCCGCAGGGGCAGACTCGTTCCAAGGCCTCTAACATCTCCCCATTTGCCAATTTTGTCATGGTACCAAAGACCCAACAGGTAGCAGAAAGCACTAGCACACTGTGATTGCTAAGCATCCGCCCATTGCACTGTTATTCGTGGCTGAGGCAGTGTCTAATTCTGGGGATTCGGCCAGCAAAGAGGGAGATTCAAAGAGGTGGGGTGGAATCTTAGGAGGAAACTCAGAAGTTTGTAAAAATTACACATGGCATGTAGATAGCAGGCAGAGAAATGTTGTTCCTCTCTCCTAGCACTAGAACCCATGGGCATCCAATGAAGCTGCGTGTTGGAAGATTCGGGAGAAACGAAAGGAAGTCCTTCTTCATGCAGGACTGTGGAACTCCCTGCCACAGGAGGCAGCAACGGCCACCAACTTGGATGGCTTTTAAAGAAGGATTTATCCAATTCATGGAGGAGAGGGCTACCGACAGCTACTGGCCACAATGGCTACGCTCCACCTCCACACTTTTTTTTTTTTTTAAGATATTTATTCAAAGTTTTACATTTATCCTCCAGATGTCAATCAAGTCCATATTGTCAGTTAGTTCAAAAAAGGTTTTAGGTAGTCTGCCATCTTTTGTCACATTTTGACTGTGTGACTTATCCATGTTTGTTGATACCACTCCATTCATATCTCCCATCATAATGATGTTGTTATAGTCCATATAGTCCAGTATTGTCTCATGCAGTTTCTTGTAAAATTCTGATTTCCCCTCATTTGGTGCGTAAATTCCTAATATTAAAAACTTTTCACCTTGAGCTTGAATCTCAATTGCCAGAATTCTTCCTTGCTCATCTTTGAATAAAAATTTTGGTGCTAGGCTCTCCTTTGCATAAATCACCACTCCTCTTTTTTTAACTCGATCCGATGAAATAAATTCTTGGCCTAATCTCTTGTTTATTAACAGTTTTCTATGGAGCCTAGTCACATGTGTTTCTTGCAGGCAAATAATGTCCAATTGTTCTTTCCTCAAGATGTGGAATATTTTTTTCCTTTTTTCCGGGGAATTACATCCATTAATATTCCAACTAAGAAGTTGCAGAGACATCCTGGACGAATATGTTATTCGTTTATTGGTGGTGGTGGTGGTACTTTCTCTTTCTCCTGATCCTCAGGTCTCACAGGTGTAGGTGCAGGCGGTGGCCCAAGTCCTGGCGGTCTTTCAATCCCCTTCTGAAGATCCTCTCCGTAAGCACTCAGAAACTTTTCTTTATCGTCGGCTGTTTTAATTCTCACTTTCTTCCCTCTGAATGTAAATGATAATCCCTGGGGAAATTCCCACCTGAAGGGAATTATGTTGCTCCTCAAGAGTCGTGATAGCTCTGTATAGGTGGATTCTAAGGTCCAAAAGCTGTTTTGGAATGTGGTGCCAGTGTGGTGTAGTGGTTAAGAGCGGTAGTCTCGTAATCTGGGGAACCGGGTTCGCGTCTCCACTCCTCCACATGCAGCTGCTGGGTGACCTTGGGCCAGTCACACTTCTCTGAAGTCTCTCAGCCCCACTCACCTCACAGAGTGTTTGTTGTGGGGGAGGAAGGGAAAGGAGAATGTGAGCCGCTTTGAGACTCCTTAGGGTAGTGATAAAGCGGGATATCAAATCCAAACTCTTCTTCTTCTTCTTCTTCTTCTTCTTCTTTGAATATCTCTGCTCTTTTGTCCTGAATTTCAAGTGACTTCTCATAGTGTAGGCCTAATATTTTGTCTCTCTCCTCCTTAGATCTCAAAATAATCAAGCAGTCTCTGGCCCTGTCTTTCCTTGTTATTTTTCCAACTCTAAAAGCAGTCAGGATCTTAAAATCCTTTTCTTCTTCCAAATTCCAAAATTTGGAAAATTCTTTTGTCAGAAACTCAATTAGATTTCCTTGCTCAAGTTCTGGAATTAACCTCAGTCTCAGGTTACTTTCCCGATTCCGTAATTCTATCATAGACAAGTAGGCCTGCTGCTCACCAATCTGTTTATGCAGTGGTATTACCTCTTTCTGCAAAGCTTTGACTTTTTGATTGGCTTCCTCCGCCAGTTTACGATTTTCTGTGGTAGCTTCAGATAATTTCCCAATTGCTTGTGCATTCAGAGCAACTTGTTCAGTTAATTTGTTGACACTAGCTGTATTTTGGTCGATCTTAGCCGTTTGTTCATCCGCTTTTTTGTCCAAAACTTCCAATTTTTCAAATATTCTATCTAATACCGATTTAGACTCTCCAGCAGCCATGCCTTCCAAAAGGCCTTGCTCAATTCCTTCTTCTTCTGTCCCCAAATCAACCGGAACAGATGGTCTGCCCTCTATTTCCAAAACAGCAGGTACAGATGATCTACGCGGCTGTGAAGTTAAATTCAAGGTTGTTTGCTTAGCTCTTGCTTTAGCTGCTCTTGTCTTGGCGGCACCACTCATTCCAAAACCATCTGATAGTCAAGGTCAAACTGTGTGTAATCCCATAGGAATCCACAGGCCCAGAGAATAAACAACAAGATAAGGAGGTAGAGTGCAAATGCACAAAGTCACGTAACGTTATAAATCCACAAACCTCTAGAGGGAGCTCCACAGAGTACTTGAAGGAAGAAAACTAACTTGAGAAAACTAACAATGTCCAGCAAACCTCCAAATTCCAAAGGACCTTCAGGTCTCTTAAAGCCAGCAAAGTTGATTTTGGATATAAAACAGTGTCTCAGAAAAGTGTAAACAGTATTCCAATGAAACACTCCAATAGCACTCAGATGTAACACAAGCCAAGTTTCTAAGTATCAAAGTCTGCACTCTGACAGTTCTATTTTTTTCCAGGCAGCCCTCCGCCTGGGGTTCAGAATATCCACCTCCACACTTTGAGGCAGCAGTGTTTCTGAATACCAGCTGCTGGAATCCACAGGAGGGGAGAGGGCTTTTGCGCTCATGTCATGCTCCTTGGTTTGCCAGGGCACCTGGCTGGCCCCTGTGAGAACAGGACGCTGGGCTGGATGGGCCCTTGGCCTGATCCAGCAGGCTCTTCTTATGGTCTGATCAGCAGACACCCTCAGAAGGTGGTGGACTCTCCTTCCTTGGAGGTTTTTAAGCAGAGGTTGGGTGTCCGTCACAGATGCTTTATATGAGATTCCTGCAGTGCAGAGGGTTGGACTAGATGGCCCTCGGGGTCCCTTCCAGCTCTACAATTGTATGGTTCTATTACATTCAGGTGATCAGAAACATCTTCAAAGCTGAGAAAGAGCATCTGCTAATAGCTTTTAACCATTTTTTTAAGCTCTCAGATAAAATTGTTCATTACGGAAAGAAAAAGAAGGAAGTAATTTAAGCTCCATCAACAGGAGGCTAATAATAATAATAATAATAATAATAATAATAATTTATTTATATCCCGCCCATCTGGCTGGGTTTCTCCAGCCACACTGGGTGGCTTCCAACAGAATCTTAAAATACAAAAACCTATTAAACATTAAATCTTTCCTAAAGAGGGCAGAGACATCACCTTGCCAACAAAGGTCCGTATAGTTAAAGCAATGGTTTTCCCAGTAGTGATGTATGGAAGTGAGAGGTGGACCATAAAGAAGGCTGATCGCCGAAGAATTGATACTTTTGAATTATGGTGCTGGAAGAGACTCTTGAGAGTCCCATGGACAGCAAGAAGATCAAAACTATCCATTCTTAAGGAAATCAGCCCTGAGTGCTCACTGGAAGGACACATCCTGAAGCTGAGGCTCCAATACTTTGGCCACCTCATGAGAAGAGAAGACTCCCTGGAAAAGACCCTGATGTTGGGAAAGATGGAGGGCACAAGGAGAAGAGGATGACAGAGGATGAGATGGTTGGACAGTGTTCTTGAAGCTACCAGCATGAGTTTGACCAAACTGCGGGAGGCAGTGGAAGACAGGAGTGCCTGGCGTGCTCTGGTCCAGGGGGGCACAAAGAGGCGGACACGACTAAACAACAACAAAACAGGTGTCTTCTAAAAGTCTGGTAGTTGTTTTTCTCTTTGACATCTGATGGGAGGGCATTCCACAGGGCGGGTGCCACCACCGAGAAGGCCCTCTGCCTGGTTCCCTGTAACTTGGCTTCTCCCAGTGAGGGAACCGCCAGAAGGACTTTGGCACTGGACCTCAGTGTCCGGGCAGAATTATGGGGGTGGAGATGCTCCTTCAGCTACACTGGACTGAGGCCGTTTAGGGCTTTAAAGGTCAGCGCCAACACTTTGAATTGGTGGCTAAGGTTAACTATTCAGGAATGACCTGTGTGAATCTAGTCAACACTGAAAACCCTCCTGCAGCACAAGGACCTAAGAAGAGGCTGCTGGATCAGACCAATGACCCATCTAGCACAGCATCCTGTTCTCACAGGGGCCAACCAGATGCCCTGGGAAACCTGCAAGCAGGATTCGAACTCAAGAGCAGCACTCCCCTCCTGCGGCTTCCAGCCACTGTCATTCAAAAGCATTGCTGTCTCTGACTAGCATAGTCATCCTGGCTAGTAGCCATCAATAGCCCTTCTCCCCCGTGAATTTTGCTAATTCTCTTTTGAGACCATCAAGGTTGCTGGCTATCACATGTGAAAAGGATCTAGGAGTCTTGGTTGACCACAAACTTGACATGAGCCAACAGTGTGACGTGGCAGCTAAAAAAGCCAATGCAATTCTGGGCTGCATCAATAGGAGTATAGCATCTAGATCAAGGGAAGTAATAGTGCCACTGTATTCTGCTCTGGTCAGACCTCACCTGGAGTACTGTGTCCAGTTCTGGGCACCACAGTTCAAGAAGGACACTGACAAACTGGAACGTGTCCAGAGGAGGGCAACCAAAATGGTCAAAGGCCTGGAAACGATGCCTTATGAGGAACGGCTAAGGGAGCTGGGCATGTTTAGCCTGGAGAAGAGGAGGTTAAGGGGTGATATGATAGCCATGTTCAAATATATAAAAGGAGGGAGAAAGGTTGTTTTCTGCTGCTCCAGAGAAGCGGACACGGAGCAATGGATCCAAACTACAAGAAAGAAGATTCCACCTAAACATTAGGAAGAACTTCCTGACAGTAAGAGCTGTTCGACAGTGGAATTTGCTGCCAAGGAGTGTGGTGGAGTCTCCTTCTTTGGAGGTCTTTAAGCAGAGGCTTGACAACCATATGTCAGGAGTGCTCTGATGGTGTTTCCTGCTTGGCAGGGGGTTAGACTCGATGGCCCTTGTGGTCTATTCCAACTCTATGATTCTATGATTCTATGATCACTGGCCCCTTTAGGAATGAGTTCCGTAGCTTAACTACACACTGTGTGAAGAGCTTTGCCTCTTCAGGGATCCTGGTGCTGCGTTCAAGGCCCAATAAGCAGCGGGAAACACCAGCATTTGGTGGCCACCAAGCAACAGGCAGTTGCATCTGCGATTCATGGCTGGTGCTGCATCAATTTAAGGCAAGTCTGCCGTGATGCAAAGGAGGCAAAGGTTAGGAGGAAACTCAGAAATATCTGGAGGAGGTGGGAAAGAAGGAGCAGTCGCCTAACAGATTTAAACTATCTTTTAAATTCTCAAATAAAAGCATTCACTGTGAAAAGGGAACAGTTTAAGCTCCATGAATGGGAGGTTGAGGTTAAAAATTCAAGGATTACCTAAGTAGATCTTCCCAACATTGGATAATCTGCTGTAGTGTCGAGGCAACTACTGTACCTTCTGCTTGTGGTTCACTTTAGGATTCCCTTCCAGATTATCTGTCCAGGATTTCCCTTGCTCTTCTTCCGAGTCTGATTCTCTTGAACCCTACGCTATTTCTGCTCTATATTTCCCATGGATTCTTATGCCTCCCTCCCACGGCCTTATACTCGCTTCCTTTGTCCTCCCAGGATGGTGCAAGCAGCAGCCCTGTGACACAAGCCGCTTGCTGATTGGCTGCCTGCCCTGCCCTGCCACCATTCACCATCACAAGCACACCTGTGGCTGAAAGGTAAGGCAGATTGTGATGGCGCTGGGCCTGTGAGGCAGCAGTCTTTGGCATCCCAGGTCAATCCAAGTGGGGCAAGACCCTTGCGGCTAAAGACAGGTCCTTCACTGGCTCTGTGAGCCTAGCTGTCTCCCACCTTCAGAATCTCCTAGAGGGAGTTTGCGACTCAGATGAAATTTGACCCAGCACTTTTCCTAGAATGCCACTATTACTATCAGCCACTGTGTGGTTTTATTTTCATACATTAAACTATGTACATGTGTGTGTTGAAAGAGGAATACTTTCAAAACTTTTAGGAATAATGGGAAGGCTTCTTGGTGACTACAAGGGCACTATCCAATCTGTCCTGTCCGCCGCTGGCTTTTGCTGGACAGCTCTGAGCCAAGTTATTATTTATACCCTGCCCATCCGGCTGGGTTTCTCCAGCCACTCTGTGCGGCTTCCAACAAAATATTAAAAATACAATAAAGCATCAAACATTAAAAACTTCCTTAAACAGGGCTGCCTTCAGGCATCTTCTAAAAGTCAGATAGTTGTTTATTTCCTTGACATATGATGGGAGAGTTTTCCACAGGGCGGGTGCCACTACTGAGAAGGCCACTACTGAGATTAATATTGACATGGCGTCTTACCACCGAAGAACCACCTCCTACACTTTGGGTGAGGACTAAGACAAACCAGGGCAGAAAGCAGAGCCCAAGAAGCCATGGGCTACAGCATTTCTCATCTGGTATTTAAGCTCTGCAGTACTAGAGCTTTGTAACCTTCAAAGTGATTCAGATTTCATACTCTCCAAGTGTCCCAGTTTTCCAGGGACAGTCCTGGAATTACGAAAGCTGTCCTGGCATCTGGATTGATCCTGGAATGTCCCTATTTTCCCTGTGTAGGGATATCGCGGAGTGGGCAGTGGGGTCCGGAGGGAGCACACTCCCACCAGCAGGCAGTCACAGTCTGCCTGCACGCGTGACCCTGGGGTGCAGGGCACATTCCCCCCCCCAGACAAGCCACAGCTGTCTGTACATCGTTCCCTCTGTCTGACCTTTTGCGGTCTCAGCAGTCTGCGGTGTCCTGTCTGTAACCTTTGTCTCTGAGACCTTTTGTCTCCTTCGTCATACACTGTGCAAGGGGAAAATGACGCAGTGGAAACAGGTGCCAAAATAACTTTGTACTACCCCTCAATCTCGGGACAGAAGATATGTAAAGGTCACAGCCCAAAATGTATTTGCCTGGCTTGCATATTTGTCTCAATAAAAGGAGGCTCCACAGGGCTAGCGGGCAGCTTGCATGCAGCTCACCTGTGCACAGCTCACTGATGATCACCCCCAGTCTTGTGCCTTCACTTCACCCTGCCGCCACTGAGCTCAGAAAGGATGATGAGCCGGCACTTGTCCCAAGCTGTGGAGGCAAGGCAACATCCCATTGCCTCTCCATGACCTCTCCATGGCTGCCGCAGCCAGCCTCCTCTTTGGGCAGCTCGTAGCGGCGGCTGAAGAGCAGGCAGGGAAGGAGAGGGGCTGCCACCAATGAGGCCCAGCACTGCATGACATGCTGGTTCTGAATGGCAAGCAGAGGGCAGGGCCACCCTGCCAGGGAGACGGGGGTATCAGGCAGGCCCCCAACTGGCTCCAGCCACCAGCCACCAGCCGGGCGATCTCCAGGTCACGGAACAGCAGCAATCAACCAGCAACTCAAGCCTCAGTAGCCTTCTAAAGCTACCGAGCACGTTAATTAGCAGAGTGAATAAATCACAATAAAAGTGGCGGACAGAGTCATGTGTAAGCATATTTACAGCATTTATTCAGCATAGTTCAGGAACAAAGGAAAAAACATGTTTGCTTCGCTTCGTGTCCAGCAAAACGGCAATGCAAAAGCAATATACAAAACGGAAGTTCCCAGCAGAACTGTGCTGGAAGTAAACAGGCATGTGACACACAACAGTCATGCCTGTTCCTTTTAAGGTGGAACGGAACTATATCCTAACACGCCCCGGGTGGGGAGAAAGGAGGAGTGGAACATTGTTACCCTACAAAGGAGGGTCTTGGTTTCACCGGTTCTTCAAGCCAAAAGAAGACAGACAGCACGTGGAAATAATTAAACTTTATTCGGTGGTCCAGAGGATTTCTCCAAGAGCTGGGCTTAGAATACAACATTCAAGGCACCTTCATAATATTCTCTATGAATGATGACCTTGTGCACAGGCCTTCCTAATAATATGATTGGTTATCTGAATTCATGAACAGCTTATGGGCCCTTCGAGTTAACTTTCAATTGGATGTTCCAACCACAGAACTGTTTTTTTACCTTGGGAATCACCTATCTTACCCAGGTGTCATCACCCTCGAGCTGATTCCAGCCAGTCTTTTAATTGGAAAAATAAATAAGTGTTATCTAAGTTGGCTGTTATGAGGGTCTGCATGACATCTCTGCTTCTTGCTAAGGGTGTTGTTAGGAAAGGCTAGGCAGAAAATATGCAGAGATAAGCGCACACCTTGCGTCTGCAACTCATGAATAGCGTATTTCTGAAGAGCAGAAGGGAGAAAGAATTTCTAAGCAGAAAAGGAGACTAAGAGCCTATATTATTGGTGGGGGCAGGGGAAAAGGACAGAGTGCAAGGAGTCTTGATTAAAAATAAATAAATAAATAAAATTCAGTGTCCAGTCTTGCCCCTTTCTAAAATGTATTTATTGGTGTATGTTTTTCTTTTTGTAAATCTACCAAAGAATAAAATAAAATCAGAATTAAGGGTTTTCTCAGAACAGTGGAGGGCTGTGTCCCATTGGTCTGGTGGTGGTAGAACTCACCCTTCTTCAGATAGGAAATGCTCTGAGGGAGAGGGACCAAAAATGAGGGAGGGGAGAGAGGAGGATCAGTTAGAAGGTGGACTGAGAACTCGGGGAGAGGGGCAGAAGCACAGATGCCAAAGGGACAGCTGCAGGGCAGAGGAGAGACGGGGGGACGGGACACAGAGACTCAGATGCCCATTTCCTCATCACATGGTCCCATCTTGGGAGGGGACAAGTGGGTGGGTGGGAGGAAGGGGTCTCACTCCCAGAAGTATATGCTCATTTGCGCCGCCCCCGTGTTTCCTGCTCATTTGCTCTCCCCATTGTAATTCAACCCTTCCATTTCCAATTGCAGTGTTCTGAGTCTATATTTGGAGCTTATATTTGGTGCTTTTGTTTTTGCTATTTATTTTGCATTTTTTTGTTTTGAAGCTTTTTCAGTTAATTTGTTTTTGTGACTGTGTGGATTCCAGTTCAGCTAATTGATTGATTGATTGATTGATTGATTGATTGATTGTGTGACTGCGTAAATGGATAAAAGCCCCCCATCCAAACAATGACTATCCTCAGTGCAGGTAAGAATTTTTTTTATCCTCTACAATACTGTTTTATTTATTTTATAGTACAGTACATTGATTATTGCTTTCATTTTATGGATCAATGACCTCGTTAGATAGTAAAATTCATGTTAAAATGCTGTTTTAGGGGTTGTTTCTAAAAGTCTGGAATGGATTAATCTGTTTTGCATTACGTTCTATGGGAAAGCGCACCTTGGTTTTGGAACACTTTGATTTTGGAACAGACTTCCGGAACGAATTAAGTTTGGTACCACTGTATACTTATGCCAGATACTTTCACGCTAGCCTGTTAAAACAAGGAAGACCTGAGTTTCCCCATGGAACATTGTATTCTTGCCTCTTTGCATTGTGGGAAATCCTCCATGATTCCCCTAGCCTGAGATCATGTAGGCAGGTAGCCATCAGGGGAAGTTCCTGAATCTGCCATTGTTTGCTCAGATGGGCATCCCGATTGTCTTCATCAAATGCCAGTGCTTTGTGTAAAACTGTCTGGAGCCACGTGAAACTTGCTAAGTCCACTCACCCCCCTTGGTGCGGTGGCATTGCTGGATGGAAGAGGCTTCACTGGGTCCCCGACGCTGGAATTCAAACGGCAGTGCCGTTCCTGATACGCAGAGGGGTATATTCCCCCCCCCGCCGCCGCCTATCAGGAGCTGGATCTCAGCCTGCACCCTGCATTAGTGAAGGGGGATGCAGGCTGGGATGTGGGCGGAGCCAATGGAGCCAACGGTGGGCTTCCCTCGGATCCGCCCCTGCCCATTTAAGCAGCCCACACCTGGGGCATGTCCTGTTTGTTCCTGCGCTGGGTTTTCTCCCCATCCTACCCACCCACGGTTTACACTGATAGGCAATGACTTTGCTATGGCTACGGTGGTCGCCGTTCTTACTGGGTCGGGTAGGAATTTGCCTACCTCATAGCAATTTGTCACAACTGGTTGAGTATTGGGGCAATCCCTTGTTTTGGACAGAGGGGAGGTTTTAGCCCCCGCCTGCCCCTCCAAATGCTGGGGTATCCTATTAAAGGGATTCAGGAGGAGAGGCCATGTCCGCGTGCCCAGAGGCGCCAGGGCCGAAGGCACTCCCCCAGACAGCGGTCCCTGCGGGGGTCACCCTATTTGATGTAACTTTTAGGAACTCCCACATGGATTGACCACACATCACTTCCAGCAGGCAGACCGGAAGTACTTCGATTGCCCCATGCCCAAGCCAAACCTCTTTCATCTGTATTCAATAAGGTTGTGTCCTGTTTTTACCCAAAACCCAGTCTGATCGGTCTCTTTTTTATATGGGTTGGGGTATGGGAAGTCCGATGCCTTGTTCTGCAAATCCTCAGGAATATCACACCTTGACCTGCCTGAGCCACTATAACCCCACCTTATGTGTGATGCATTTCTGACGTTTACAAAAGGGGATGTCCTTCTCCAGGAGGAAAGGCAAATCTTTTAAAGAGTGTTTTTTTCTTGGCTCTGGGTACTTCTTCACAGCAGCGGGGGGGGGGGGGACGGACTCTGTTGCAACAGATAATAAAAATCAGCCTTGCTTTCACAGGATTTCTGCCTCAGCTCATTAATCTCTGACTGATAGCGAACTTGGGGAGTTGGGCCATCGAAAAGCAGGCCCTTATTTTCTGGTAACAGTTTCTGTATATCTTTTAAGTCATGTGTGCCACACCTTGTGTTCTCTTCAATTCTTATGGCGGTTGTTATGTACTGAGTTGAATAGGATCCAAAATGCAGCAGTCTGATTGGTCCTAGAACAATAGGATTCAGAATGCAGCAGTCTGATTGGTCCTAGAACAATGCAGCAGTATGGTTGGTCTGCAGGAGCCACCCAATCCAGCTCCAGGTGGAAGTGAATCCGCAACCTGATTGGCCTACAGGAGAATCCCGGAATTAGCCAATCACGTGCGGCCCATTGTGTAAATAATGTATATAAAGCAGATATTTTGGGGAAACTTCCATTCCTCGCTACTATGAGCTGAATAAAGAGCATGAAATCCACACTCAACACTGAGTATATTTCAGTGGTACTCTCCACTTACCTGTCTTGTATCTCATGGCTAATATCCAGACAATGAGCGTTAGCATTTCTTCTTGTGAAACTAACATCTCGTCAGCCTTTGTTTTGGTTTAGTTTTTATGTCTTAGTTATGTGAAGCTCTGTTTTGTTATTTGGGTTATATACAACTGAGTTACAGAATCTCTCAAATGTGTTAATCGCCAATGGATACCAGCAAAACAGGGTTACGAAGCTAATCCAAAAAGAAACACCCCCCAAAAACCAAGACACAGAAGAAAACAATGGCATGGCCCTCCTTCCTTATATCAAGGGCACTACAGATAAAATTAGCAAAATCCTCCATAAACACAATATCAAAACAGCCTTTTGCACCAACCAAAAAATAGCCAATATCCTCAGAAACCCCAAAGATAAAATCCAGTTGGAAAACCAAGGGGTCTATGAAATACCCTGCAAAGTCTGCCCAGCCACGTACATTGGACAAACAAACAGACGAATAAATGCACGTATCGCAGAACACAAGAATGCCGTCAAAAAAGAAGAAAAAACTTCCTCTCTTTTCCAACACATGAAAGAAACAGGACACGAAATTAATTTTGCAGATTCCAAATTGCTCTTTAACATGGAACATCACCACAAGAGAATAATCATGGAAGCCATCGAGATAGAGAAACACCCTCACAACATGAACAAGCGTGACGACACGTCCCGCCTGCCAGACATCTGGAAATTAGCCCTCCCCACAAAAACCGACACCAGATCCAGAGGCACACAGAACGCCATCACCAATCAACCACACCAGACCCAAACCCAGACCCTCTCCACAGATAAATTACAGACACCATCCAGTAGCCAAACCATGGTGGCACCTCCGGATGCTGCACCCCCCTGCAATCCCTACACAGATCTGGCTGGCACAGGGCACAAAACCACAGCTCGCCCCTATACACGAAGCCAAGCCAGAGCACAACTAAGTGCAGTACAGCCATCTTCTCAGAAAAACTCTTCACAAAGTTCAAGAGGTCAAGACACGAAGGCTTTAGCAACTAATCCACACCTAATGACCCACCTAAGTGGTACTCAGAATATCACTCAAGAAATCACTCAAGATATCCCTCAAGTAATTAAGGAACAAAAGAAGAAAAGGCACACTAGCCTGGGAACTTCCTCTCTGCCCAGAACATTGGAGGCTATACACCACACCCCCTCAACAGTATTTATAGGAACTCAAACACTGAGATCCTGCTCTGTTCCAGTAACAAGAAGCCGAAAGCACCAGCCTGAAGATGACGAGTGAGACCTCGTCGAAACGTCCCCTAGACACCCCAACTTTTACACGGGAAGACACCCGAGGACACCAAAACCTGCATTCCTGTACCCGTGAAAATCTACGAAAGCATATATATATATATATATATATATATATATATATAATCAGAGGTTTTGTAGATTAATTTGATTTTCCCATATTTACATATTGGGGTGGAGTGGAGCTATTCCTGAAGCAAGAATACTATTTCTACCAGAGCATTCCTTTGACCGAGACGATTATATGAACAAAGATAGAAAGCTTCCTCATTACCAACTGTTAGGTGTATGGCGGCGTGGTTGCTCGAGGGCGAACAAGCAAGACCCCCACTGCTCTTTTGAAGGCTTTATTATCGGTGCAAAAACATTCACAGTGCAGAATGACTCAATTCCATGTTTGCTCAGTCACTAGCAGAATCTGGGAGTGGGCGGTCCTTAAACTTTCCCCAGCAGAGCAGTCTCTTGACCCCCATCCTACGCCTCCCCTCTCGGCGCGTAAACCAACAGCACAGAGAGGGCTTGGGCAAAGGGGGACCTGCCCCCCACCCCCGCTTTGCGGCTCTCTCTAGCATCTTCCAAGCCCTGCACCCCTTCCCCACTGGAGGCGGGGCTTCCTTCCTCCGCAGAAGAAGAGCTGCTTCTCACGATCTTCGGAGGCTCCCTGTAACCGAACTGCCGTTCCACCTCTCGCCTCTGAGCTGATGGCAGTTCCCTGACACCAACAATGGAAGAATGGTTGCTAAAATTAACTGACTTAGCTTGAAGGAATGGGTTTCCCAAATCTAAAAAACCTGACTGTGTAGTCAGTCTGGAACGGGCCCCAAAATCTGCATTTTTCCTTCTCCAAGGGAGCATTTCTAAAATGCTTTAACTTGAGCTCTTGAGCCAAAACCCAGCTGTATAAACAAGTGTTCAAAGCGCTCTCCTTTATCAGTCTGTGACGACAATAGATGACCTTGGCTGTTCCAGTGGAGCAGGGATGGCACATCAGGGTCTTATCTTACATCCTGACCACACTCTGACGCACAGACCTAGTCCAGGAACAGCGCCAGGAGACCTTCTTACCCCAAGATAAGGAATACAGGAACAGGATCACCCTTATATGGTCAAGAGTACAGGAAGAGGAACACCCTTTTATGATTAAGAGTACCAGAGCAGGAACATCTGTGATGTCAACCTGCGTGTATAAGCTGACGTGGTTGGATTCCTGGGGAAGGGGGGAGAGGGTGCCTGGAGGATATATATACTGCATGAAATTTCTCATTTATTTGGACTTGCTGTGGACTGAGACCACGCAAGTGCCTTTCTGCTGCTCCAGAGAGCAGAAATAAAGAACTCTTTCTCTGAACCAACCCTTGGTGTCATTTGACTTCCTTCCTCCCGTCTGGGAGCAACGCAGAGCCCACCAATCGGTAAAGTCTAATAAGGCTACAAGCTGAGATGACAATATTGACAGGAAAAGGTCATTGTTAACATTGACTAAATATTGGAAACCTCCCATAGACTATTTTTGTAAAAAGAATATGAATAATGACATTTGGATCTGGGGATTGAAGATAATGTTTATAGAAAGTGGGGTTTTTTAGGTGTTATATCGGAGTGGATGAAGTGATTAGTATTTATTTATAGCAGACAGATGAAGAACTGGAACTGTATTTTTTCTATTGCCTCTTAAAAACTCTTTTCAGTCTCTTTTTTCTTCTCTCTCTTCCTTTTTTGCCATGTTTTTATCTTTCTTAGATGAATGTTGGACAAAAAAGATATTTGAGATTAAGTTTTGTATTTCTCTTTATAAACTCTAATAACATTTAGTTTAAAAAGAAAAGGGGGGGAAGCTGCCTGTACTCAGCATTTAGTTGTTAAAGTAAGGACCACACTTTTAACTGGGGGGGGGGGGCGGGTTTTGCTGGTGCTTCAAACCCTTGAGTACCCCCAGAAAAAAATGTCTGATTTCCACTATTTATTACCGTATTTTTCACTCCATAGGACGCACCGGACCATAGGACGCACCTTGTTTTAGAGGGGGAGAACAAGAAAAAAAATACTCTCCCTATCTGCTCAGCGCCCCTTCAGCGAAGCTTCAGGAGATACAGAGCCCCTTCCATTTCTCCTCCCGCTTGGCTGAAGGGGCACTGCGCAGCTCTCCCTCTCTGCTGAAGCCAGGAGAGTCTTGCTCTCCTGGCTTCAGCGAAAGGAACCTGAAGCCTGTGGAGCGCAGCAGAAACTCGCACTGCGCTCCACAGGCTTCAGGCGGCTATCCCTGAAGCCTGGAGAGCGAGAGGGGTCAGTACGCACCGCCCCCTCTCGCTCTCCAGGCTTCAGCGAAAGCAACACAAAGCCTCTGGAGCGCGGAGGGAGCACTCCCTCTGCGCTTCGGAGGCTTCGCATTGCTATCACTGAAGCCAAGGAGCCTGCATTCACTCTATAGGATGCACACACATTTCCCCTTAATTTTTGGAGGGGGGAAAGTGCATCCTATAGAGCAAAAAATATGGTACACATGTGTGTCACAGCAAGCCTATCTTAAAATAGGCGTGCCAACCTGCATGCAATGGTTTAAAAAAAAGGAACACCATTCTTAAGACAAGCCTGCTATCTGCTGTTTTATTAACTGGGGCATTTTTTGAGAGTCTTAAATCTTTTTTCTTTCTTCCTTTTAATGCATGCATTAGAGAAGTCACAATCAGAACAGACTCTCCCACATGTACTTTCCTTTCTAAACCCATTGATGCCAGTGGCAGGAGGTACGGTGAATGGGTTGTGGGTGCAGGCTATCCTGCAGTTGTCAGAAGGCTGTAATTTGGCTATTTCACGTCCTCCCCTCTCTTGGAAGAGATAACTGGCAGGCGCGATGAAAGAAATGAAAAGGCCTGTTTGCTAACCACAACAGAGCTGCCATCTTTAATTCAGGACATGAGTTTCCTTCCTTTAAGAGCTCTGCCAAGGGCAGCTATTCCCATCCCAAGGATCTGCCTTGATAAGACAGCAGCCGTTATCAACCCTGCCCTGAAGGAAAATGGCAACTCTTCCTAGGCACCCATCACCTGGGACACAAATCTCTCTAACCAACTGATAATAGCAAACAACCTCTCAAACTCTCTTTGTTTCACGGAGCACAAAGAACAAGGCTTGGGTGGAATTGGATGTTTCTGTTCGTTCTGTGGCTAAGCAGACTTCTCCTGGAGTTGAACAATGGAATGAAAACCATTCTGCCTTCAGTAAGGTATTGGCCCAGTTTTCCCCAACTTTATGGTTCTTCAATGTCTATGTTCTCCTTACACACCCATTTATGTAGTTTGTGGCAGTAGTCGTCATTCCAGTTATATCCGCCAGATGACGGCACGATGGATGTGCAGTCTTTCTCCAGCGCTCCTTCATGCTCTGAGTAGCTGGGGTTGCCGAGAGACCAATATCTGGGAGCAAAAGGTGGAAAGACTTCTATTTATTATTATTATTATTATTATTATTATTATTATTATTTATACCCTGGCCTCCCCAGCCAAAACCAGGCTCAGGGCAGCTAACACCAGATATAAAACAATTGATTCAAATACAACTTAAAAACAAGATTAAAATACAACATTAAAACATTAACATACAGCCTCATTTCAATGGAAACTCAAATCAAAAACTTTTGGGGGATGAAAACGTCAAGTCTTCACCAAGGCCAACTATCCAGACTGGTCCTACGTGGGCCAGAAAAAAAGAAGTCCCCAAATAGGAGTTCAATCACAGAAGGAGAAAGGAAAAAGGAAAGAGGGAGGGGGATCAAGTGGATTCCCAAAGGCCAGGCGGAACAACTCTGTCTTACAGGCCCTGCAGAAGAAATCATATCCTGCAGGGCCCTGATCTCATGAGACAGAGCGTTCCACCAGGCCGGGGCCAGTGTTGAAAAGGCCCTGCCTCTGGTTGACGCTAATCTGACTTCCTTAGGGCCCAGGACCTCTAGTGTGTTGCTATTTATGGACCTTAAGGTCCTCCGTGGGGCATACCAGGAGAGGCGGTCCCGTAGGTATGAGGGTACTAGGCCTAGGAGAGACAGAGAGAAGCTAGGTCTACCAAAGCAGAAGAATGAGGGTCCTGCACCACTTTTGAACTTGAGCAAACTTTAGAAGACTCACTGTGCTTTAGTTCTGGATCCATCTGTCCATTTCCAGTTGCCTTCCTCATTTTCATCTGTAAGGCCAATCCAGGTAGGATCACTGAGCTGAGAGGTGAGGTAGTTCTGCAGGAGGAAGGAACAACCTCACATGACAAAATGCATAAATAAGCCACTTCTGGCGAACCAGAGCAGCGCACAGAAATGCCGTTTACCGTCCTGCTGGAGCTGTACCTATTTATCTACTTGCACTTTGATGTGCTTTCAAACTGCTAGATGGGCAGGAGCAGGGACCAAGCAACGGGAGCTCACCCCGTCGCAGGGATTCGAACCGCCAACCTTCTGATCGGCAAGTCCTAGGCTCTGTGGTTTAACCCACATCCTTAGTATATGGGTAGATGAGTCTTAAAAGCCCGGGACACAAATTTTCACTGCCCTCTAGTGGCTACAGACCCTCCAAGTGTCCCTATTTTCCAGGGACGTCCCTGATTTAGAGAAGCTATCCTGGTTTCTGATTTGATCCTATAATGTCCCAATTATCCCTGTTTTCATGGGAGAAATGCTGGAGGGCATGGAACTATTTGACTCTCAAGCCGTCTGAAGGCAATGCTATACAGTGGTACCTCTAGTTACAAACTTAATTCACTCTGGAGGTCTGTTCTTAACCTGAAACTGTTCTTAATTAGAGGCGTGCTACTGGGGCTCTTGCTGCTGTTCCCCCTGCACACGATTTCCATTCTCATCCTGGGGCAAAGTTCTCAACTTGAGGTAACTCTTCCAGGTTAGCGGAGTTTGTAACCTGAAGTGTTTGTAACCTGAGGTGTTTGTAACTCGAGGTACCACTGCATAGGGAAGTTTTTATTATTTTTTATTATGTTTTTATATATGTTGGAAGGGGACGTGGGAGGTGCTGTGGTCTAAACCACAGAGCCTAGGGCTTGCAGATCAGAAGGTCGGCGATTCGAATCCCCGTGACAGGGTGAGCTCCCGTTGCTCGGTCCCTGCTCCTGCCCACCTAGAAGTTCGAAAGCACATCAAGTGCAAGTAAATAAATAGGTACTGCTCTGGTGGGAAGGTAAACAACGTTTCCGTGCGCTGCTCTGGTTCACCAGAAGCGGCTTAGTCATGCTGGCCACATGACCCGGAAGCTGTCTGCGGACAAACGCCAGCTCCCTCGGCCTATAGAGTGAGATGAATGCCGCAACCCTAGAGTCATCCGCAACTGGACCTAATGGTCAGGGGTACCTTTACCTTTACCTTAGTATGTTGGAAGCTGCCCAGAGTGGCTGGGGCAACCCAGTCAGATGGGAGGCGTATGAATAGGAAAATTATCTTTATGGAATGGGACGTCCCTATTTTCATTGGAGAAATGGTCGCTTGGGGGACTCATTTACCAGAAGCAATGTAAAGGTAAAAGGTAAAGGAACCCCTGACCATTAGGTCCAGTCGTGGCCGACTCTGGGGTTGCAGCGCTCATCTCACTTTATTGGCCAAGGGAGCCGGCGTACAGCTTCCGGGTCATGTGGCCAGCATGACTAAGCCGCTTCTGGCAAACCAGAGCAGCGCACGGAAACGGAGTGGTACCTATTTATCTACTTGCACTTTTCATGTGCTTTTGAACTGCTAGGTTGGCAGGAGCAGGGACCAAGCAATGGGAGCTCACCCCATCGTGGGGATTCAAACTGCCGACCTTCTGATCGGCAACTCTGGAAGTGTAAAAACGATTCAGATCAAAGGAAGCCTCCTGACGTATGTTTTGCTCTGGGAGGCTGAGTTTGGTCAAAATTCTAGTATACATTTTAGCCTTTTAAGACTCATCTACTCTTGTACTATCTGTAACCAAAGGGGCTCCTTTGTTGCCAGATGTGAAATACCTTGACCTTCCTGTTCTGGGTGTGTGTATGTTACATCCTCCTCACACAGCCCTAGAGCATCGCAAAGCAGCACGGGCCTGGCAGGGCAGCATGCTTGTTGCCGCTTTGCGATGTTCCAGGGCTGTGTGAGGAGGATGTAACATACATGTACCCAGAACAGAAAGGTGAAGGTATTGCCTTAGGGTGCTTGCCTGCCCAGCGGCAGAGCTAGCCACTCGGGCACCCGGAGTGGCACACACGCCATGCACACAGGAGCTGGGCGATCCGCTGGGGGGTACGATCAGTGCTGCGGCGATCTGCCCTTGGGGGATTTTGTCAACCCCCCCTCAGGGATGACACCTGGGGCGGACCGCCCCAACCGCCCCCAATTCCTACGCCCCTGTGCCTGTTCACCCAAGGTGCCAACCAGGCACACAACACCGCTGAGTCTGGGCCTCTATTTTTTAACCTCTGGGGGTGTTCTGTTTTGTTTCTGAGCTTCTGGAGTGTGTGTGGTGTATTGTATTTATACACAGTGGTACCTCGGGTTACATACGCTTCAGGTTACATACGCTTCAGGTTACAGACTCCGCTAAACCAAAAATAGTGCTTCAGGTTAAGAACTTTGCTTCAGGATGAGAACAGAAATTGTGCTCCGGCAGCACAGCGGCAGCAGGAGGCCCCATTAGCTAAAGTGGTGCTTCAGGTTAAGAACAGTTTCAGGTTAAGAACGGACCTCCGGAACGAATTAAGTCCGTAACCCGAGGTACCAATGTAGATACATTTCTTTTTTTAATAGTTTTGTGCAGTACTTTTTTCTGTTGCGGTAGGCATACCCCTAAACATTTTGTGAATCAAAGTTTGGCCTCATTGAGGGGCAGTATTTCAATACGAGTAGGAAAATGAGAATAACCCTAAACATTTTTTAAGGGGGGGGAGCACTAGTTCCATGTCTTCCATCAAGCAAAAAATAACTGGAATATAAAGCAAGCTTTACGTTATGGGTTAGCGTTCAAGCATCATAAATAAAGCACAGCCAATGCAAGGAGTTGCACTTTGTGGTTCATGAAATATTTGCATGTGAAAGTAAGAAGAACAGGGGTGGACAGAACAATACACTTTGAATCCCAAATATCAAGGGGTGAGGAGGGGGGAAAGAAACATATAAGACCTGCTCTTCGTCACTTAGAATGGAGGCCAAGTGGGAGTCTCTAGTCAGGCAGAAGCTCTCGGCGTCATGCCAGGTCTTTTCCTCATTAGAAATGTAGTAGAAACTCTTCCCAAAAAAATCCCAGCCACCAGCAGTCTTCGGTTTACCTTTCTTGAAGAGGTCTTCTGGGAGGAAAAGAAAGGCTTTTGAAATAGCAGGCATTGAATTGAGTATATGCTGGAAGGGCTTTTGAAATCTTGGTTTATTCATTCATAGAATCATGGAATTGTAGAGCTGGAAGGGACCCCAAGGGTCATCTAGTCCAACCCCCTGCAATGCAGGAATCTCAGCTAAATAATCCATGACCGATGGCCATTCAACCTCTGCTTTAAAACCTCCAAGGAAGGTCCACCACCACCCAAGGGAGACTGTTCCACTTTCTAACAGCTCTTACTGTCAGAAAGTTCTTCCTCATGTTTAGCCAGGATCTCCTTTTTTGTAACTTGAAGCCCTGGGTTCAAGTCCTACCCTCCAGAGCATGCTCCCTCTTCCATGTGACAGACCTTCAGATATTTGAAGGTGGCCATCGTATCTCCTCTCAGTCCATTGATAAAACAGACACAATGAGATAGGCTACTGGATAAGTCTTTCGTGGTTATTGTATTTTTGTTTGGGTTTAAAAACAAACAAAAAATATTTGAGCAAGGGGTTGACATCCCTGCTCAGGCCTTAGGCATTCTGGGTTACCTGAGGTTATTCTCATTTTGGACTCACAGCTGTCCATGGAGGCGCAGGTCAATTCTGTGTCCAGGGCAGCTGTCTCCCAGCTCCATCTGGTACGCAGGATGAGACCCTCCCTGCCCGCAGACTGTTTCTCCAGAGTGGTGCATGCTCTATTTATCTCCCGCTTGGACTACTGCAATGCGCTCTACGTGGGGCTACCTTTGAAGGTGACCCAGAAACTACAACTAATCCAGAATGTGGCAGCCAGACTGGTGACTGGGAGTGGCAGCCGAGACCACATAACACCAATCTTCAAAGACCTACATTGGCTCCCAGTACGTTTCCAAGCACAATTCAAAGTGTTGGTGCTGACCTTTAAAGCCCTAAACAGCCTCGGTCCTGTATACCTGAAGGAGCGTCTCCACCCCCATCGTTCTGCCCAGACACTGAGGTCCAGCGCCGAGGGCCTTCTGGCGGTTCCCTCACTGCAAGAAGCCAAATTACAGGGAACCCAGGCAGAGGGCCTTCTCGGTGGTGGTGCCCGCCCTGTGGAACGCCCTCCCACCGGATGTCAAAGAGAAGAACAACTACGAGACTTTTAGAAGACATCTGAAGGCAGCCCTGTTTAGGGAAGCTTTTAATGTTTAACAGACCACTGTATTTTAATACTCTGTTGGAAGCCGCCCAGAGTGGCTGGGGAAGCCCAGCCAGATGGGCGGGGTATAAATAATAAATTCTATTCTTCTATTCTATTCTGAGATTGGTGAAGAATGTCTCCCTGGTGCTCTCAGGACAAGGCTTCTCAAACTGTGGGCCAGGGCCCACCAGTAGAACTTGGACCACTCTTAGGTGGACCTCTCTGCCACAGTCTGTCCAGTGCCTCCTCACTCACCTGCTCCACTCATTGTCTGGACCAAGCCAGCACCAACAGCTCCCTATAATCCCTGTGAAGGTGGCTGGGCGACAGAGACGTTCAAGGATGGAAAGAAGGTCTACCTCATCGGTGGGGAAAAGGCCAGAGGAAGTGTTGAAGGAAATTAGAAAGTAGGCGCTGGTGGTATTAATACAGTGGTACCTTGGTTTACAACCATAATCCGTTCCAGAGGTCCATTTGTAAACCAAAGCAGGTTGTAACCCAAGGCGCACCAATGGGGCCTCCAAAAATAATTTGTTTGTACTCCAAAAAAAATAAATGAGTTGTAATCCCAAAAAAGTTTGCAAACTGGGACACGCACTGTCGGACTTGCGTTCGACTGAGCTCCTCCGACGTGATTAACGACTTGAGCCTTTGATGACGCTTCAAGCATGTTTCCCCTTTATGCAGAGTATCCAGCACAGGGAAGGAGCCGAGATAGTATGAGCTACATGGCTAAAGAGCGGTTTATTCCTAACTACACAGACAGAAAATAAAATACATCCTCTCTCTGTGAGAGCAGAGAGCAACCGAACAACAAAGGAACAGGAAACCAGTAACATCACATCCGTCTCCTGTCTTCCGTGAGAATTCCAACAGCCTGGAATGCAAAACAGAGTCTTGTGACTCCGAGAGCACTGCACAGTGGCAACACACAGAAACTAACACGCACTTCCGGGTTTGACGTGTTTGTAATCCAAAACGTATGCAAACCAGACTGTTTGTAAACCAAGGCACCACGGGAAATAGAGAGAAATGAGCTAAGAGATGGAAGCTGCTACAGGAGGACAAAGTGAAAGTGAAAGGACCAGGAAGGAAGAATGAAACAAACGGGCAGTATGGGGTCGATGGGAGTAAGGTACCATTTAAGGGTGAAAGAGTGGGAGAGGTTACCCAGGGTTTGGATCTCCTAGAACGAAGGTTAGCGGCGACTGCTCTATCTTTATGGCATATAGTTTTGTTTACACATATATACAACAAAGGTCTGAATAGTTAAAGCTCTGGTTTTCCCAGTAGTGATGTATGAAAGTGAGAGCCGGACCATAAAGAAGGCTGATCGCCAAAGAATTGATGCTTTTGAATTCTGGTGCTGGAGGAGACCTTGGAGAGTCCCATGGACTGCAAGAAGATCAAACCTCTCCATTCTGAAGGAAATCAGCCCTGATTGCTCACTGGAAGGACAGATCCTGAAGCTGAGGCTCCAAGACTTTGGCCACCTCAGGAGAAGAGAAGACTCCCTGGAAAAGACCCTGATGTTGGGAAAGAATGAGGGCAGAAGGAGAAGGCAATGACAGAGGACGAGATGGTGGGACAGTGTTCTCAAAGATACCAGCATGAGTTTGACCAAACTGCGGAAGGCAGTGGAAGACAGGAGTGCCTGGCGTGCTCTGGTCTATGGGGTCACGAAGAGGCGGACATGGCTAAATGACTAAACAACAGCAACAACCTGAGCACGAGGCTGAGGGGCTCGCAGCATTAGTACTAACACGGCTCAGCCTGTAGAGCATGAGCCTCTTACTCTCAGGGTTGTGGGTTCGAGCCCCATGTTGGGCAAAAGATTCCTACATTGACTAGACGACCCTGATGGTCCCTTCCAGCTCTATTGTTCTAGTGCAAAATCTCTTGCCTCTTCTGCATCTCTAGCTTCTAGCCTGCTTTCTCCTCAGCCACACACAATACGCTCCTGTTGTTCTCTCCACCTGACAGTTGGGGAGGGGGAAACCCACCCATTAGTGGGGGGCACTATCACTTAATTGTAGCTCTGGCAACATAGCCCATTCAACAAACTCCTCTTGTCATATTCTAACCTCACTGGCTGCAACACCCCAAGTATCAGAAGAGACTTGGCATAATTCAGACTGACATAGACACACACACACACACACAACCCTGCAACAAAAAACAAACAGATGAGACCTTGGAACAGTTCCTTTCCTGAGCATCTTAGAAGGCCCATGGGGGAGAAAAATATCACTGCGAACTGGACTTAAGACTATACAGGGTTGTTTCAAATCTTCTAGTTATTAATCCCCAATAGAGTTTGGTTCCTGAGTCCACCGTAAACCCTGATTATCAGCATTTAACTTTCATTTAAGGTATTCTTCAATTTTGGTGACAGTTAACGGGCTGCCATTCTCCCATGCTGTAATCAGAGCGTGTGACAGACAAACTTCAACTCACATATATTTGCTCGCCCTTGTATTTTCAAGATGTGTCAGATTTAGACATTTATTTGTTAAATTATAATTTTCATTTTACAACAAACAAAAGTGAAATCCCTTAAAAGCAACTTATTACATGCGTCCTATTTCAACACCCCTCCCCCTCTTTCTGCGGTTCCTTATGTTTATGATATTTTTACTGCATTTCCGAATTAAACCTATTTATTATTTATCCAATATAGCCAATGTATATTTTATATCACTGCACGTTTTTACATTAATCCTGCTAATGTCTTGATCTGTTTACAATAATCTGGTAACATATTTGATAAACTATTTCCATTCTTTATTTTAAAAAACTTTGTCATCTTGGTTTCTTATTCTTCCAGTAAGTTTTTCCATTTCTGCATAGTCCAGTAGTTTCTGTTTCCATTCCTCTTTAGTCAGAACATTTTCTTCTTTCCATCTTTGGGCACATATCATTCGAGCAGCCGTGGTCGCATACATAAATACATTTTTACATTATTTAGGTAACACTAGTCCCATAATTCCCAAAAGTAAGGCCTCTGGGTTCTTAATAAAAGTTATCTTAAACATCTTTTTCCATTCATTCATATTTAGACATTTAGATACTTACTGTACTTTCCTTTCCGTGCTTGGAAGGTCTTTTCCGATTGTTCTATTTTTGCTGGCAACTTTGCCACTTCTTCTGCTAAAGCTATGGCTGAAAACATTCTTAGAGTTAGGAGTTTATTTTTTGCTATCACCAACCTTTATACACAGATGCATTTTCTAGTTTATTTAAATACCCTGTCTTCCTATTTCACAATTTAGGGTGCCCAAGGGAGTCAACAAGTCAGGTATAAAACAAAACACCATATCCCCCCCCCAGAAAAACAACAACAATGCACAACCCTCCCCCCTCCTCATAAAACTAAAACCATTAAGTGCTAAAATTAAAAAATTGTCCAGTAGCACCTTAGAGACCAACTAAGTTTGTTCTGGTATACGTGTTCGTGTGCATGCACACTTCTTCAGATACACTTCAGTGCATGCACACAAAAGCTTATACCCAGAACAAACTTAGTTGGTCTCTAAGGTTCTACTGGACAACTAAAAATATATATATTTATTTCAACTGCGTCAGACCAACACGGCTACCTACCTGAACCATTAAGTGCTGAAAGCAATGTCTGCAACAGCAAGAAAATTATCGTAGAAGCCAGAATGAATATTAGATAAGGGGAGCAAGCAAGTTGTTCTTTTCTTCTTTAAATTACAAACTTTATAGAATTTTTTAAAAAAACAATCTTTAAACAATTACCAAGCATAAAGTGCTGCCTTCCAGGATGAATGCAGGTGTTAAGCCTTGACCCACATGTCACCATGGGAAATCTTTTATATTACTGATTATACCTGAAGGAGCGTCTCCACCCCCATCATTCTGCCCAGACACTGAGGTCCAGTGCCGAGGGCCTTCTGGCGGTTCCGTCACAGCGAGAAGCCAAGTTACAAGGAACCAGGCAGAGGGCCTTCTCGGTGGTGGCACCTGCCCTGTGGAACACCCTCCCACCAGATGTCAAAGAGAAGAACAACTACCAGACTTTTAGAAAACATCTGAAGGCAGCCCTGTTTAGGGAAGCTTTTAATGTTTAACAGACCACTGTTTTTATATATATATATATATATATATATATATATATATATATATACACACATTTTTTTAGACCAATGTATTTTAATACTTTGTTGGAAGCCGCCCAGAGTGGCTGGGGAAACCCAGCCAGATGGGCAGGGTGTAAATAATAAATTCTATTCTATTCTATCCTATTCTATTCTGTTAAATCCACATCGTGCACTTCAATTTAAAGCACTAGGATAATTTCTCCCTAGTGAGATGGGAGAGTACAGTATTATTGTTACTAAATGATATAAATTGAGACTATAGGGAGCCAATCCTATATTTCTATGTTATTCCTTTCTATGTTATTCCTATGTTATTCCTCGGCAGCTAAAAAGCCAATGCAATTCTGGGCTGCATCAATAGGAGTATAGCATCTAGATCAAGGGAAGTAATAGTGCCACTGTATTCTGCTTTGGTCAGACCTCACCTGGAGTACTGTGTCCAGTTCTGGTCACCACAGTTCAAGAAGGACACTGACAAACTGGAACGTGTCCAGAGGAGGGCAACCAAAATGGTCAAAGGCCTGGAAACGATGCCTTATGAAGAACGGCTAAGGGAGCTGGGCATGTTTAGCCTGGAGAAGAGGAGGTTAAGGGGTGATATGATAGCCATGTTCAAATATGTAAAAGGATGTCATATAGAGGAGGGAGAAAGGTTGTTTTCTGCTGCTCCAGAGAAGCGGACACGGAGCAATGGATCCAAACTACAAGAAAGAAGATTCCACCTAAACATTAGGAAGAACTTCCTGACAGTAAGAGCTGTTCGACAGTGGAATTTGCTGCCAAGGAGTGTGGTGGAGTCTCCTTCTTTGGAGGTCTTTAAGCAGAGGCTTGACAACCATATGTCAGGAGTGCTCTGATGGTGTTTCCTGCTTGGCAGGGGGTTGGACTCGATGGCCTTTGTGGTCTATTCCAACTCTATGATTCTATGATTCCTTTTATCACCCTCTGATGGTGAGTTTGGCATTCCATAACTGTTACTATATTTCACACATACTGGTTGCAAATTTCTGTGGTGAGAGAGGGTGCTTTTGCCCCCAGCTGGAAGCAACTACTTGTCTCCCTGCTGTCATAAGAAAGAAGACTAACTCTTTATGTTTGCCACTTGCTTTGATATTGTTTTCTTTTGACAGCAGGGCTAACATGGGATCGGGTACAAGATGTTGCCCCTTAAGGATGACAACAACAAAATTTGGATCCAGAAACCTTTAAGCAGCGGAGAGTCTCAGCACATGTGGAGGATTGTGCCTTTAAGATTACATCCTCTCCATCTTCAGAAGACTCTTCCATTTTCTTTTCTTTCTTCTGAGATTTTAAAAATGGGCAGCTGTTTTTAAACCAATGAGAAATGAACCAGTCTTTCTGTTCCACTTACGAGACGTGTGAGCGATCTTCGGATTCCTGAGCCCGTCTGCCATATTGACCCTCAGTTTTTTCATCGGTATTAGAAGTGGGTTTTCGGAATCTGTGATCAACTTGATATCTAAAGTTGTTGAAACAAGGGAGGGTGCTTAGATTTCCAGCTGCCTAATATCTGCTTACTTATTAATAATGTCTGTACATTATTAGGACAAAATTCCCATGACAAAATTCTCAGGCTGGCTTATAAAAAATAAGAATGAAGCAATCTCAATAAAGCTTTATGGTATTCCAGTCTGGCTGCCAGGGTTTACCCAGTTGGTAGAACAAGTGCAGGCAGCTTTCCTCTTCAAGATTTTTACTGTCTCACGCTGTGTACCCTTTGCAGCCTTGTGTCTAGAGGGAGGTCAACACAGGGTAGAGACTGTCGCCTGGTTGAGATTTCTTCTATGCTGGTTAAACATCTGCCTTACATCAGATAAAGATCCTCTCCTCAGCAAAGTCTTGTCAGACCCCTTTCTTTCCCCAGGGCTACTACAGTTTAACAAGAAGGTACAGCAACTTGGGCTGCCAGTGGAACTTTTGCAATCGATGTCCCTACCATCTGCCAAGGCTATAATAAAAACTAGGTTGTGGGATATTGAACGCCAAGAACTAACAGTGGCAGCAGAGAAAACATGTTTCCCTCTTTATTTCCAACTTTCTTGGGCACATAAAACTAACCACAATTACCTTGAACCTCTGCTTAACCCTCAAGAAAGAAGGGCATTTTTGCTGGCCAGGTTTAATTCAAATCCATCAAACCTCCTTTGGGAAAGGTTCTCAGGCAGGGTGGAGGGAGAAAGAACTTGCCCAGGTGAAGACCACCTGGTGGAAACCCTTACAAATATGGTTCTCAGTTGTAAACTATATGCTGATCTCCATCAGCAATTTCTAGATCAACTCTGTATCCCCAAATGGAAACCAGAGTCGGAGGTCATACATTTTCTATTACTGAGGAATGATCAGGAGCTCACCAAGTTAGTGGCTAAATATTGCTTTTTGGCTTTTTGTCGAAAGCAATATACACACAGTTCCCTCACCACTATGCTCCCACTGCAAGGTACTTGCCTCCTCAAGAACACATGCTGAGATGGAGGCCCTACAGAAAGACTGGCACAAGCTGAGGAAAGTCTGGGCTTCAGCCAGTGGAAGTTCCACCCAGGGACAGGTGTCCATTCACCAGCCACGAGGAGAAGGAGGCACCGTCACAGCCCCAAAGACCTGGCCTAGGTGCAGCTCACCTCCCCATGGCTCCAGAAGGCAGCAGCCACACAGCCTTGGTGAGGGAACCAGGTTGCGCCCCCTCAGAATTCTGCACCCGGGGCCATGTCACCTCTCTCCACCCCACACTATGCCACTGTGTTTTCGCCAGGTGTCTCAAAGAAGATGGTAAAGGTAAAGGGACCCCTGACCATTGGGTCCAGTCGCAGACGACTCTGGAGTTGCAGCGCTCATCTCGCTCTACTGGCCGAGGGAGCCAGCGTACAGCTTCCAGGTCACGTGGCCAGCATGACTAAGCCACTTCTGGCGAACCAGAGCAGCGCACGGAAACGCCGTTTATCTTCCCGCCAGAGCGGTACCTATTTATTTACTTGCACTTTGATGTGCTTTTGAACTGATAGGTTGGCAGGAGCAGGGACCAAGCAACAGGAGCTCATCCCATCTCGGGGATTCGAACCACCGACCTTCTGATTGGCAAGCCCTAAGCTCTGTGGTTTAACCCACAGCGCCACCTGTGTCCCTCAAAGAAGATGGTACCTGCCTAATATTAATAGGCGAGGAGATCCAAAGTTCAGGTGCCACCACGCTAAACAAGTGGCTTTTTACAAGTGCGGAAGGGGCACTGTGTGGCATTTGGAAACGTGCAAGTTCCAAAGATGGAAGTAAACTGGTGTCGGTATGTACGGAGTGAAGTAATGCCTCAGGTAAACTGATCCACCTTTTTTTGTGCGTGCCAAACACAGGCTGATTTGTTTAATGCTCCTGCGGTGACTCTAGTGCGTGGCAAGAGAAAGCAGGCAGCGCAGCTTATGCAACAGAGGTTGCGCGGCAGCAGCTCGAGCTGTGTGGGATGTAAACACAGGAGCAGTCAATGACAACATTCCTAGAGTGTACATGTTAGAACATGGGGAGGGATGTCTGTCCAGCCAGCAGGTAAACTTCCTGGGGACGGACTTCCTCCGCATGTGACCAGAGGTGGGTGTGGCCTCACCTGTGCAGGTGAATGATAAAAGCACAGGGCAGGCAGCCATTCTCTCTCTTGCTCTCTCTGCCATCTTCCTTCGATGAGGAAACATCTAAGGATGCCCTCTTGGCTCTCAGCCAAGAGAGGACAGGACTATCTTCCTATAAGATAGATTCTGAGTGTATTTCACCTTTTTAAGCGTGTCTGCCTTCTGGGATCACATTGTGAACAGAACGTGAGTAAACTCTTTTATAAAGACTGTGTCGTGTCTTGTATTTTAAGAGGGGACAAAGGGGAAATTACCAGAGTAATTGTTATAGAGGTTCTAGTGAACCTGTGCACACGTTATCGCTGCAAACTTGAAAGGGGAATGTTATAAACTCTGCTGATATTTTGGGAACTTGTTAGCACAAATTGGATTGGGATATAATCTCACAATATATCCTCTCCTGCACCCCAGAACATTCCCACAAGCTGGACTTACAGAGAACGAGCATAGTGAAGAAGCTGATAATGCAGATAGTTCCAAAGGTGGAATAGAATGTCCATTTGAGCTTCCCGGGAGGTGGTTTTGGTGGCTCCTCTGGCTTTTCCGGCGCTGCAGGTTTCTTTGGGGCCATGGCTAGAGAGACAAGCAGAAAGAAACGCCCACAAAGAGACTAGCTCAAGAGGCAAGCTCACCATCAAGCCTCAAACACATAGGCACCGTCTATGCAGGGCCATGGGTGCCCAGGCACCAGCAAAGTTCTACATCCCAGCGCACGCACGCGGCCTCCCGGAGGTGCATCTCTGGCAGCCAGCACCACACGCTGGGCATATCTGTGTGGTCAGTGGGTGGCCCTAGCACCCCCAGGAGGATCATCACGCCAGGGGTGCGAGCGCCACCCCCCGGGGGGGGTACAAACGCTTCCCGCTGGCCGGGTGCATCCCCGGCGGCCAGCACCACACGCCAGGCGTATTTGCGCAATCAGTGGGCAGATTTTTGTGACGATCGTGAAAATCCCCTCGCCAGGGGTGTGAGCACCGCCACGCCAATCTGCCCAGGGGATTTTGTCACACACACATCCCAGCATGACACCCGGGGCCGACCGCACCCCCCACACCTCCCTTGTGATGCCCCTGGCCATCAATAGCCCTCTCTTGCATGAATTTCTCTTATCTCTTTTAAAGTCATCCAAGTAAAGTCATTAAAGTGGCAGGGAGTTCCATAGTTTAACTATGCACTGTGTGAAGAAGAACTTCCTTTTAATCTTCAAACATTTAGCTTCATTGAATACCCACAAGTTCTGGAGACTATCTACTGATTATATGAAGAAATATTATAAGCAGACAATTAGTCTAGCAGGATGGTAATATTTTCAGCAGTGTAAGTTAGAACTAGAGTTAACGGGGAAAGCAGAGAAAGACTGGGGAAACTAAGAAGACGTGAGAGGAAGTGGAAGTTAAAAGGAACCATGTATTGAGAGGAAGGGAAGTCTGACGACTGTATTTTTTTTTAATGTAATAGAATATGTAATAATACATATAATAATATGTAATTATTTTCAGGTTTTTTTGTTTTTTTCCCTTGCATTGTAATGTATCAGAACTGGAAATAAAATAATAATAATAATAATAATAATAATAATAATAATAATAATAATAATAATAATATATTTCAGTCTTTTAAATTTATCTGTGAGAAGGGGCGATTGTTGTGTTGTTGTTTTGCTTTAATTCTTTATTGTGTTTTATCTTGTATTTTATTCCATGAACCACTCTGAGATCTTTCAATGAAGGGCAGTACATAATTTTAAAAAAAATAAAATGCCCAAGAGTTTTAGCATTATGAGAGAGGGAGTTGGAAAACTTTTTTCTATCCACTTTCTCCATGCCGTGCAAAATTTTATGAACTTCTATCACGTCACAACTCAATCGCCTTTTCTCGAAATTAGAAAGTCCCAAATGCTGCAGCCTTTGCTCATTGATCATTTTGGGTTGACCTTTTCTGAGCCTTTTCCACTCCTACAAAGCCACTTCCAAGCTGGAGAGGAGGTGGGGTTGCAGGCCCACGCCCTCCCCACGCACACGGGGGCATGGCCTGGATCATTTAAGGCTGGCGCACATGGGGACTTTCCTCTCTTCCCCGTTCCAGCTGCTTCTGTTTCCCACCCCGCCCTCCCTTAGGTTTAGCTCTCTGACCTGGCTATGGACTCCGGCTGGTCGCCGCAAGGGGCCTGGTAGGAATTTTTCCACTTGGCAAATTCACCAGCCATTTGGTTTTTCACCTACCTCATAGCAAATTGTCACAACTCTCCCAGTATTGGCGGTTAGGCATTGGTGGGGTTATTGTTATGCAAATGAAGGGGGAGGAAGCGCCATCACCTTCCCCCAAGGCAAAGGGTAGTCCGGTAAAGGACTCTGGGGGGCGTTGCCCTGTCCGAAGCCTATGGAGGTGAGGGCCTAAGGCACGCCCCCGAGCGGTGACACCCAGGGGATCCTAGTTCACATACTTCAGCAGGACTCCCCCAACTGGTGGTTAACCCTTCCCGGTCTTCATGCAATTGGGCTGAAGCCGGGTAGTCGATAGGAACCAATGCCTAAGCCAATACCTCTCAATTCCTGTAATCAATAAAGTTGTGGCCTTTTACGCCCATTAACCTTTAATAAAGTGTCCTGTGTCTTCATTTCACAAGGGGGGAGGGGACTTGCCACGCAACATCTTTTTTGAGGTGTGGCGGCCAGAACTGTGCCCAGTACTCTAAGTGCTTTCACACCATAGATTTGTATAATGACATGATGATCTTCCTGAGTCCTGGCAGCTTTGTTTTCAGTTCCTTTCCTAACGATCCCTAGCATGGAATTTGTCATTTTCACAGCTACCGCACACTGAGTTGACATCTTTATCCGTCTATCTACTACAACCCCAAGGTTTCATTCTCAGTCAGCCACTGCCTGTTCAGATCCCATGAGCCCATATGTGAAACTAAGGGGTTTTGAACCCAGTGTCTATCAACTTGTTTTCACTGAATTACATTTGCCATTTTACCACCCATTCACTCAATTGGGAGAGATCCGTTTGGAGCACTTCACAATGTCTTTTTGTTTTAATTGCCCTGAGCAATTTGTTGACATCAGCATACCTCATACACCTCACTGCTTACTCTAGATCGTTTAAAAGCATAGATCCCAGCACTGATCCTTTGGGGCCTCCACTTTCTACATCTTTCCATTCGGGGGGCTGGCCATTTCTTCCTCCTCTCTACTTTATGCTACTTAACCAATTCCTGGTCCACAAGAGGACCTCTCCTCTCATTCCATGACTTCTAAGCATACTCAGGAGTCTTTGGCAAGGCCTCTTTCACCTTTCTCCACCTACCTTTCTCACTTTCCTATCTTCCCAACATAGTGCAAGCAGCAGCTGTGTGAGTCCAGCTGCTTGCTGATTGGCTGCCTGCTCTCCTCTTCCACCATACACAATCACAAGCACACCTGTAGCTGAAAGGTAAAATGCATTGTGATGTCACTGAGGGGGGTGAGGTTGCAGACCTTGGCATCCCGTGTCAAACAAAGCAGGGCAAGAAGATCCTCACCCATTGTGGGTGTAGATACCAGCAAGTTTTTCTTCTCAGTCTCTTCCAGCCTAAACATACCCAGCTCCTTCAACTGTTCCTCACCAGGCTTGGTTTCCAGACCCTTGGTCATTTTGCTTGCCCTTCTCTGCACATGTTCTAGCTTGCCAACGTCCTTCTTAAATTGTGGCACCCAGAACTGGACACAGTATTCCAGGTGTGGTCTGACCAAGGCAAAATAGAGTGGGACTATTATGATACAATGGGACGCGGGTGGCGCTGTGGGTAAAATCTCAGCGCCCAGGAGTTGCCGATCGTCAGTTCGAATCCCCGCGGCGGGGTGCGCTCCCGTTGCTCGGTCCCAGCGCCTGCCAACCTAGCAGTTCGAAAGCACCCCCGGGTGCAAGTAGATAAATCGGGACCGCTTACTAGCGGGAAGGTAAACGGCGTTTCCGTGTGCTGCGCTGGCTCGCCAGATGCAGCTTGTCACGCTGGCCACGTGACCCAGAAGAGTCTGCAGACAGCGCTGGCTCCCGGCCTATAGAGTGAGATGAGCGCACAACCCTAGAGTCTGGCACGACTGGCCCGTACGGGCAGGGGTACCTTTACCTTTTTTATTATGATACAATACGATATGATACAATAATCTTTATTGTCATTGTCCAATACAGAACAACGAAATTGAAACTCTGATACCCCATTTTAAAATACAATATACAGTGGTACCTCGGGTTACATATGCTTCAGGTTACATACGCTTCAGGTTACACACTCCGCTAACCTAGAAATAGTGCTTCAGGTTAAGAACTTTGCTTCAGGATAAGAACAGAAATCGGGCTCTGGCAGCGCAGCAGCAGCAGGGAGCCCCATTAGCTAAAGTGGTGCTTCAGGTTAAGAACAGTTTCAGGTTAAGTACGGACCTCTGGAACGAATTAAGTATTTAACGCGAGGTACCACTGTACTCCCATAGAGACTCCTTACACTGCATTTAAAACCAAAATCGCATTTGAATAGAAACCATTTCTCAGGCAGCTAGTCCTAGTCTTTATAACCCTGTACCTTCTTCCAGAAGGCAGAAGCTGAAAGAGATCATTTCTGGGGTGCACACTATCCTGCACTATCTCTGCAGCTTTCTTATGGCACCTGGAAGCATAGATTTGATCCAAGGTGGGAAGAGTGCACCCAATTATTCTCTCGGCAGTCTTTACACCCCACTTTACAACTCTGTTTTTCCCCTGACCGTGCAGCTCCCAAAACACACACAGAGACCATAAGTTAATACACTCTCCACAGTACAATGGTAGAATGCCATCAACAGGTCCTTTGAGAAATTGTTTTTCCGGAGGATTCTCAGAAAATATCACCTCTGCTGTGCTCTCTTCATCAGGTCTTTGCTGTTTTCTCCCCAGGTTAGGTCATCTCTCAATTCCATTCCCAGAAATCGAAACACCGAGACCTGTTCCACGCACTTCCCCTCAATAATAATTACTCTCCTTGATTGGGATACTAGACTTCTGTTGATGCTGCCTAGAACAGCACTGGCTCCTTTTTTTGCTGCAGCATCACACTGTTGACTTACGTTAAGCTTATAGTCTACTAAGACACCTAGATCCTTTTCACATGTACTACTGGCAAGCCAGGTGTCCACCATCTTATAGTTGTGAAGAAGGTTCTTCCTGCCTAAGTGCAGAACCTTACATCTGTCCCTATTAAAATTTATTTTGTTAGCTTGCATCCAGTTCTCCAATATGTTAAGGTCATCTTGAATTCTGATTCTGTCTTCTGTGGTATTAGCTGCCCCTCCCAGTTTGGTGTCATCTGCCAATCTGATGAGCATCCCCTCAATTCCTTCATCCAAGTCATTTATATAGATGTTGAAGAACAATGGGCCCAGGACAAAACCCTGCGGCACCCCACTTGCGTGTCGAGACCCCAAAGCCACCCCCTCGTTGAGAAATAACACACACAAGGACACGGATGTTAGGTTAATGTTATTGGGCAAATTTGGCCACAACTTTATTGATTACAGAATGTGAGCAATATTGGCGTAGGCATTGAATGGACCCGACTATATCTGACTCCTGCCTGATGTGCAGGAAGTCCGGTAAGGGTAAACCACCGGAAGGGGGAGCCCCGTCGATGCAGACCAACTCTAGCTCCCCCTGGTGTTTCTGTTGGGGTCGTGTCATGGCCCTAGCCCCGCCCCAGGCTTCAGACAAGATCCACACCCCCGGATTCCTTTAACGGAATACCCTTAAGCTTGGAGGGGCAGGTGATGGCCACACCTCCCCTCCCCCATCACAAGGTCAAACAATGCCTAACCGCAACCCTAACAAAGTTGTGGCGATTGCTACGAGGTAGGCAAAAACCCAATGGCCAGTGCCAATTTGCCAAGTGGAAAAATTCCTACCAGGCCCCTTAATGGAGACCAACCGAGGTCCATAGCAAGGCCAGTGCCTAAAACCTGCAAAATAGGGAGGGAGGGCGGGTGATTGAGGAAGCGAGCCAAAGAGGAAGCCCTCCAGTTCACGCCTCTGGTTAAATGGTCCCGGCCACACACCCTTGGCCAGTGGATTGGCTGGCCAGGCTCTGACGTGGCCAGGATCCCCCGGGCAATGGGGGGCTAAGTTCCCCACCCCTAGAGGGGAGTGGTTGGTCACGCGGTCCACCACAACTCCTCCCCACGGGGAAGTGGAGCGGATTTGTCACTTTTTCCCAGGATGACAAGGAACCATTAATGAGTACTCTTTTGGTTCGGTCAGTCAACCAGCTACAAATCCACCTAACAGTTACCTCATCAGGCCAGTTTCCTTCCTTTGGGACACGGATGGGGGCTGTGCCTTTCCAGATATTGGAGGGCTATCAATCCCATCAGCCCCAGCCATCATGGCCAAAAATCAGGGTTGATGGAAGCTGCAGTTCAGCAACAGCTGGAGAGCCACGCATACCTTTAAAGCTCTGTCAAATGCACGTCTTTGGTTAGGGAACCATTTAGCAGGTTCTGTTGGGTGGAAGGAGCTGTTGGTATTATTGATATTAATATCAATATTAATACGTGCCTTGCAGGACATCGTCATGAGAAGAAAAGACGAAGGAGTGAACCCAACACAAACTTGGAGTGGAGTCTCTATGGCAATTGGACGGCGCTTTGAACGCCTCCTTCCAGCAATTCCTGCAGCCAAGGTGGAGCCAGATTAATTGCTCTGCTTTCCTTTGGACCCCATCAGTGAGGCCGAGAGGGGGACCTCGTCGTCTCGGCAGCCCAGGACCTCCAGACAGGTCACTTGGGAGCTGCAAACGCAGCAAAAACAACATGGGAGGTTATTAACTCAACCTGATTGGCACAAGATTGAGCACCATGGTTTGTCTCCACCAGTAGGAGAGATCATTGTGTCTCACTGGTCAGCTGTGCAGTGACCAGAGGACAAATGGCTGCTAGGAGGAGCACAGAGAGAAGAAACGCCATGGTACATCTGCAGCAGCACAACCAGAGGCCTTCATCTGCCCCAGCTGCAACAAAACATGTCTCTCCTATATTGATCTCTATGGCCACAGCTGTAACGCTCCAATGGTTTGACTTCACCCCCCAAAGGCACACTCCTCCATTGTCCTCTGAGACAGGCAGCACTTAATTTTTGTATCTTCATTTTAGACCTTATTATTTTTTCTGTGAAAATTGCTTGATTTGGTTGTGTTCTGTTAATGTATTTTTTATTGTTTATGACTAATTTTGTTGTGTTTGTAATTATGTGGATATTTTTTTTGTAAGCCACTCTGAGCATGGGTTGAACTATGGAAAGGATACAAGGAAAATTATTTATGTATGTTTCTATGTATGTAGCTTCTCCCATCACTTCCTGGCAGTTGAGGGGTGGAGCGGGCAGCAAACACTGCAGGTAGCCTGAATATTGCCATGCCATGCTATCTTCTGCAGAGTAGCCCCTGCCAGCCATGACCTGGGAGGAAAGTGGCAACCCTTTGATGCCCCCCCCCAGCCCTCATGCTGCCTTCCCAAAGCCAGGTAAGTGAGGTGCCCAACTTTCAGAAGGAGGTGCGAGTCTCTGGCAGGGTCCTAGAGTCCTCCTACCTCCTTCCCAAAGCTGGCAAAGCACTAACTAAGCTTTGGGAAAGAATAATAATATTAATAATAATAATTTTTTATTTATACCCCGCCCTTCCTGGTTCAAAAACTGGGCTCAGGGCGGCTAACAACAAATTTAAAACACTTTAAAACACTTAATTATAAAAGCAGCATAAAATACAGTATAAAAACATGAATAACAATCAAAATAAAAAATCAATTAGATAATCCCCAGGGCTAGCTAGCTGAACTGATCCTACTTGGGCCAGCGAGGAGGCCAGGGGAGAATTGGCTGTGGGGTCTCAGAGCAGGTACCGTATTTTTCGCCCCATAGGACGCACTTTTTCCCCTCCCAAAATGAAGGGGAAATGTGTGTGCGTCCTATGGGGCAAATGCAGGCATTCGCTGAAGCCTGGAAAGCGAGAGGGATCGGTGCGCTGGGCTCCCGCGACTTGCGGAGAGTTGCCTGCATGCCGAAGGCTGGGCGTGCTGAGCTCAGCGCGCCCAGACTTCGAGTGGCTCTCTGCGCGCCCAGACTTCGAGTGGCTCTCTCGAGTGGCCCGGCGCCGGCTCCCACGGCTTGTGGAGAGTTGCCTGTTCTGGGGGCTGGGGTCGGGGGAAGCTCAGGCTTCCCCCGCCCCAGCCCCGCGCCTGGGGGGGAAATAATTTTTTTCCCCTTTATTTCCCCCCCCAAAAAAAACCTACATGTGCCTTATGGGACGGTGCGTCTTATAGGGCGAAAAATACGGTAATCTTCATAAAAGGGGAGGAGGAGGGAAGGGAAGGGAAATAAAAGATCAGGCTGAATTCAAATTAAAGGCCAGATGGAATAGCTCTATCTTACAGGCCCGATGGAAGGAGGTTAAATCCTGAAGGGCCCTAGTCTCATGGGAAATAGCATTCCACCAGGTCAGAGCCATCACTGAGTCGTGCCCAGACTTCGCGCGGCTCTCCACAAGGCGCGGGAGCCCTGCGCTGGGCTCCCACGGCTTGCGGAGAGTTGCCTGCATGCCGAAGGCTGGGCGCGCTGAACTCAGTGCGCCCAGACTTTGCGCGGCTCTCCGCAAGGCGCAGGAGCCTGGCGCTGGCTCCCACGGCTTGCGGAGAGTTGCCTGTTCTGGGGGCTGGGGTCAGGGGAAGCTCAGCCTGGGGGGGAAATAATTTTTTCCCCTTTATTTCCCCCCCAAAAAACTAGGTGCGCCTTATGGGATGGTGCGTCCTATAGGGCGAAAAAGACGGTAATCTTCATAAAAGGGGAGGGGGAGGGAAGAGAAGGGAAGGGAAATAAAAGATCAGGCTGAATTCAAATTAAAGGCCAGACGGAATAGCTCTATCTTACAGGCCCGATGGAAGGAGGTTAAATCCTGAAGGGCCCTAGTCTCATGGGACAGAGCATTCCACCAGGTCAGAGCCATCACTGAAAAGGCCCTGGCCCTGGTGGAGGATAGTCTGACTTCCTTAGGGCCTGGGACCTCTAAACTATGGTTATTCATGGACCTTAAGGTCCTCTGTGGGGCAGACCAGGAGAGGCGGTCACGTAGAAGCAGCAAGGAAGCAACTGTGACAGCAGGGATCCCTTCCCAACAAAACTAAGACATTTTTTAATTTAGTTAGGTATTAGTGCAACTGCAGTGCTTAAACGGAGACCCTCCAAGTGCCCCTGTTTTCCAAAGACAGTCCCGCATTTACAGAAGCTGTCCCAGTTTCTTATTTGACCCCAGAACGTCCCACTTTTCCTTAGGGCATCCCTATTTTCATCAGAGATATATTGAAGGGGGTGTCTCTATTTTCATCGGAGAAATGTTGGAGGGTATGCTAAGTGTCCATCGTATCTGAGAAGAGCACCAGAACAACTGGTCATGCTCTGTGACTTGCTAGCAGCCCTGCAAGGTCCAGTAGGCACCAGTTTCCAGGTACCCATCACCTGAGAAACAGATCACCACAGCCAACAGATAATAGCAAAGCACACTCTAATCTCTCTTGGTTTCAGGCAGCTAAAGGAACGGTGCTTTATGTTTATTCTGTAGCTCTGAAGGCTTTCCATGGGGTTGGATGGTGAAATGCAAAGCATTCTGTCTTCACACAAGCATTGGTTCCCCCAACTTTACAGTTCTTCGATATCCAGGTTTTCCTTGCAAACCCATCTGCGCTGTTCATGACAGTAGGCATCGTTCCAGTTATATTTGTTACTCGCAGGCACGATGGAGACACAGTCCTCCTCTATTTCTCTGTTTTGCTGTCTGTGGCGAGGCTCATTGTGAGACCAATACCTGCGGAAAGACTTCCCATTAAACAGGAAAGATAGGCTGGGTCTACCAATGAGGAGGAAGCAAGGCATGCTGAGACCTGTGGGGTGAGAATGGGATGCAGCCCCCTTGGATTGTGGGAGGCAGGAGGGCCACATTTTTAGATGCTCCCCAACATCATCATCATCATTATTATTATTATTATTATTATAAAAAAGAAATCCCTGCAAGTTGGGAAGCGTAACACAGAAACTTAACCACACCTCAAAATAACTATGGGATGGGTGTCTCCTTTTCCCAGGAAGAGGAGAGGCTGTATCAGACTGTATTTGGACCCTTGCAAGATTCTGAATAGGGACGTGGGTGGGGCTGTGGGTTAAACCACAGAGCCTAGAGCTTGCCGATCAGAAGGTCGGCGGTTTGAATCCCCGTGATGGGGTGAGCTCCCGTTGCTCGGTCCCAGCTCCTGCCAACCTAGCAGTTCGAAAGCACACCCAAGTGCAAGTAGACAAATAGGTACCACTCCGGCGGGAAGGTAAACGGCATTTCCATGCACTGCTCTGGTTCACCAGAAGCGGCTTTGTCATGCTGGCCACATGACCCGGAAGCTGTACGCCGGCTCCCTCGGCCAGTAAAGCAAGATGAGCACCGCAACCCCAGAGTCGGCCACGACTGGACCTAATGGTGAGGGGTCCCTTTACCTTTACCTTTTAAGATTCTGAATAGTGTGGGACATTTGCAGGCAAGTTAAGTGTGCTCTTCTAGACCTGGGAAAGAACCATCTGAAGACCATAATACAGTGCATATCTTAGAACATGGAAAGGAGGTGTTCAGGGGTTTACTCCATTATGTGCCTCCTGCCTCCACATATACACACACCCTGGTCCAGGAATGTCCGTGACACAGGAAACACTCCTGTGTGAAATGCTGTAGCAAATTCTGCAAGATGACTTGACTTCTCCTCTAGCATTTGGGAACAATTCCTCGACACCGCCTATTTCAGACTTACTCTTTTTTAAATCGGGAGCCATCTGTCCATTCCCATTTGCCTTCCTCCGTTTCATCTGTAAGGCCAATCCAAGTGGGGTCACTGAGCAGGGAAGTGACAAAGTTCTGTAGAAAGAAGGAACAACCTCACTCGACATTGTGTCAGGTCATTGAGGCAAGAAAGAGACAACAGCCTGCCTAGGGTTGCACATGTCGGTAAGCCTTCACAGATTTGCCAACGTAGCCCTAAATGTGTGGTAAGAAAAGTTAGGTTCTGTGCAGTATAATTGGTTTAATTGTCGCAGAGATGAAGAATGGCTAAAGGTATATTGCTGAAATGTTTAACATGGGGCTGTATTAAAGCCAACAAGAGCACTCTGAGCTCTTGCTGAGTTGAGAATTAACTGATCGTTGTTCTCTGGTAGCTAACATGTGAGTGTTGTAACCTTAGATCATGTGAGAGGTGTTGGGTTGCAAATTCGCCATCTCGAAAGCTTCCTTTGTCTCCTAAACTCTATGGAATGAGGCTGCAAATGAAGTTCTCCTGAAGGGAGAGTAAGCAGCCTAAACCAAAGGAGGCTGGAATGCAGGCTGTGGGGAGAAACAGACCTCTGCTTCTCGGTCTGCTTGGATCATGTCACCTTTTCTAAGATGTTGAGCCTGTGCTGGACAGCACAAGACAATGTAGAGATATTTTGATTGTATCTTTGATGCTTGTGTTCTGTTTTTGAAGAGTTCTGCCAGTAAAACTTTGAATAATATTTTTATGGGCCTGGACAAGGCTTCATTGCCAAAGGCCTCAGTTCTTATGCTTCCAGTCACTTCAGACTGCACAGCATTAATATCTGCAACAGGTTCAGTGTAACCCACATAAACAATTTTCATTTTAAAAAATTCTCTGCCCCAGGTTCTGAGCCAAGAAACTGCTTACACAACTGTAATGGAGCCTCTGCAGGTTGCAAAATATTCTGGGCTATGTTCTATAATGAATTTACATTGAGATTCTACCATTGCCTACTGGGCTTCACCATCGCTGCATGTGCAATGGGATTGTGCCAAAGAACCATGTTCTCCTGTTCCAGAAAGGTCAGACGTGGAGGGACAAATGCCTTTCAGTGAAGCCTGCCTGTCATTTCTAACAATTGAGGAGCCTCTTGTAAGCTTTCATGGAGGCCCGGGACTATTTGGGACAGAATTTTCAAGCCATTGCATTGATGCTACAAAGGCAGAATAGTAGCAAAATCATTGAGTTGGAAGATACCCTCTGGATTTTCTAGCCCACCCCCTGCAATGAAGGAATAAGCAGCTGTCCCTTACAGGAATCAAACCTGCAACCTTGGTGTTATTAGCACCACACTCTAACCAACCGAGCTATCCAGCTGGGATGTGTGGATAGGAAGCAGGCAAGAAATCGTACAATATTTGCATGCGAGAACAGAAAAAAGAGAAGCAGATGTCTATAACCTGTTCTTCATCCGTCAGGATGGAGGCCAAGTGGGCATCTCTGGACTCGCAGAAATTCTCAGCATCATACCAGCTCTTTTTTCCTTTTGAAATGTAGTAGAGATTCCTCCCGAAAGCATCCCACCTACCAGAAGACTTCCCACCTTTAAGGAAGAAGGATTCTAAGAAGAAATAAGTAGGAAGAAGAGGGTAATGTATTCTCTTCTGTACATAGTTGAATTCAACCCCCCCTGCTCGTCCCTGAGGAACAATGGGTGACGTGGGGTAATTCTTGCAGCTTAGCCTACCTCCAAGGGTTCTTGTGCCGATAAATTGGATAATCCAATCCACACTGCTCTGAGCTCCTTATGGGAAGGGAGGGACCCCAAATATAAGAAATATTGGGAATTGCTGCAGAACCCACTTCTGGGTCCCATTAGAACTGAATTCATATTTCCCCATTTTCTGTGAGCCCAGGAACACCAACCGATCACTTCAGCACATGCTTAAAATCTAGAGCTCTGCTCCACAGTGAGGTGGAGCGCTTCTGCCTGTTTGCGCAATCTTTTTGCGCAAGAGCCAACAGATGTGTTTCATAGCTTCCTCTCTGTGCCACATCTGGCCTTCAACCAAAGTGGCCTCTAATCTTTGTGCCTGCCAGCCGGGGGGGGGGGTGTCCTTTTTGCAATTTAAGCATGCGCCTCTTGATCGCCCTTGCATTATCAAAAAGTGCTGAGTTCAGGCATGCAGCTACTTACGGTACTTCTGTTTCCGTTTCTTGTAGGCCTTTTCAGCCTCTTCTAAAAGGTCTGGCAATGTCTTCACTTCTTCTGCTACCTGCATGGCTATAAGCATTCCCACAGTTAGAAGGTTTCTTCTTCACCTTCACCACCACAGACACATTTGCTTGTTAGAGTTAAGTATTTATATCTTAGCCTTACAACCAGGGAAGTCTGGTGTGAGAACAAAACTAGATAGATAGATAGATAGATAGATAGATAGATAGATAGATAGATAGATAGATAGATGATAGATGATGATAGATAGATAGATAGATAGATAGATAGATAGATAGATAGATAGATAGATAGATAGATAGATGATAGATAGATAGATAATAGATAGATAGATGATAGATAGATAGATAGATAGATGATAGATAGATAGATGATAGAAGGATAGATGATAGAAGATAGAGAGAGAGAGAGAGAGAGAGAGAGAGATGATAGATAGATAGATAGATAGATAGATAGATAGATAGATAGATAGATAGATGATAGATAGATAGATAGATGATAGAGAGATAGATAGATGATAGATAGATAGATGATAGACTAGATATAGATAGATATAGATAGATAGATAGATGATAGATAGATAGATAGATAGATGATAGATAGATAGATAGATAGATAGATAGATAGATAGATAGATAGATAGATAGATAGATTAGATAGATATGATAGATGATAGAAGATGATAGATAGATAGATTAGATAGATAGATAGATAGATAGATAGATAGAATATATAGATAGATAGATAGATAGATAGATGATAGATAGATGATAGATAGATAGATGATAGATAGATAGATAGATAGATAGATAGATAGATAGATAGATAGATGATAGAATATTTATATTAAAATGTAAGCAAGAAGAATTACCGATGAAAGAAGAATGGCAAATGAAAATTAATGGGCTATGCAGAATTAGATAAATTAACAGGAAGGATTCGAAACCTGTGGGATCAGAGATTCTTAGAGGACTGGAGTAAATATTTGAATTATTTGAAAAGCAATTGTGATAAACAGATTACACTAGTAGGACTGCAAGAAGTTCTGCAAGGAGGACTTTGTGAAATATTGCAAGGAAGGCTTTGAAAAGAATTATTAGTTAAGGACAATTAAAAGTAAAAGAGAAATTAAGAAATGGAGAATAAGTGATAAAGAACGGAAAATCATCAGAGGTTGTTGACGGAAGTCTAAAACATTGTATAAGAAGTTATGTTAAATGATCATTGGAACTTATATGTTTAAAAATTAATAAATATATATATTTAAAAAGATTGATATAGATATAGATATATAGATAGATATAGATATAGATATAGATGATATAGATAGATATAGATATAGATATAGATATAGATATAGATATAGATATAGATATAGATATAGATATAGATATAGATATAGATATAGATATAGATACAGTGGTGCCCCGCAAGACGAATGCCTCGCAAGATGAAAAACTCACTAGACGAAAGGGTTTTCTGTTTTTCGAGCTGCTTCACAAGATGAATTTCCCTATGGGCTTGCTTTGCAAGACGAAAAAAATTCTGGGTTTGATTTTCTGTGTGCTGGGTGGCTGGGGGAACAGTTGGGGAGGGGTTTGCAAGAATCTGGAGGCTTGTGTGGTTTTTTTCTGCATTTTTATGATTTTCTGTGACCATTGGGCCACTCTGCTGTTTTTTTAAAAAAAATTCTGGATTTGAATTTCTGTGTGCTGGGTGACTGGGGGAACAGTTGGGGAAGGGTTTGCAACAGTTGGGGAGGGGCTGGGGGAACAGTTGGGGAGGGGTTTGCAACAGTTGGGGAGGGGCTGGGGGAACAGTTGGGGAAGGGTTTGCAACAGTTGGGGAGGGCTGGGGGAACAGTTGGGGAGGGGTTTGCAACAGTTGGGGAGGGGCTGGGGGAGCTTTTCAGGCGATGCTTCGAGGTGACTGATTGCACCACCATCACCCTGCGGGAATTCTGGAAGGACCACTTCGACATCGTCACCTGCTTGAAGATGATCACCACGGCCTGGAATGGGATCAGCCAGAGAAATTTGAATTGCGCTTGGCGCAGCCTGTGGCCGGACTGTGTGGCACCAAGTGACTCTGATGCACCAGAGTCAACAGTGGTGCAGGACATTGTTGCCTTGGGGAGGACCATGGGCCTGGAGGTCACAGAGGACACCAGCGAGCTGGTGGAGGAGCACGACCACGAGCTGACCACCCAGGAGCTGGTCGAACTGCAGGCAGAGGTTGCGCAGGAGCAGGCCTCGCTGGAAGAGGAGGAAGCAACTGAGGAACCACTGTCCTCCAAAGAACTGAGGGACATTTGCCAGAAGTGGATGGATGTGCAGACTTTTGCACAGTGGCACCACCCTGACAAGCACGTGGCACATGACCTTGTGAACACTTTTGATACGAGGGTCATGTCGCCTTTCAGGGAGGTGCTGAAAAGGCGGATGAAGCAGCAGACCATGGACAGGTTCTTCAGCAAGAAGCAAAGAGTGGAAGAGGAACCTTCTTCGAGTTGTCCCCCAGAGTCTTAGAAAATGTACTGTACACTTTGTTGATTTTTAAATGTTTTTCTGTCATGTTTAGAAACTTAATTGATTGTTCCTTCAATTTTTGAAATGCTCTTTACAGTATGTGTGACTTTAAAGAGCACTTAATAAACTCTTGTTGTACCAAATTTGGCTTTGTTTGGACTTTTTTTGACCATAGGAACGCATTAATTGATTTTCAATGCATTCCTATGAGTAACCGTGATTCGTAAGACGAAAAATTCACTAGACGAAAAAACTCGCGGAACGAATTAATTTCGTCTTGCGAGGCACCACTGTATATAGATATAGATATAGATATAGATATAGATATAGATAACAGAACCCACCCAGCCCAGCCTTCCTCTGCATGTGACTAGAGGTGGGCGTGGCCTCACCTGTGCAGGTAATGACAAAAGCACAGGGCAGGGCAGCCATCTCTCTCTTTGACTACATGCATCGAAGAAGCAACATCTGCTTAGCCAAAGATGCTCTCTTGGCCTCCAGCCAAAAGAGGACAAAGGGACTGTCTCCTTATGAGATAGTTTAGCTTACTTTTCTAAGCTAAGTCTGCCTTCTGGGATCTCATTGTGAACAGAATGATGTGTGAGTAAACTCTTTTTATACTTTTATAGAAGACTGTGTTGTGTCTTATCTTTTATGAGGGAATAAGGGGGAAATACCAGAACAGTTATTATAGAGGCTTTAGCGAGCCTGAGCAAACGCATCCGCTGTGAGTTTAAAAAGGGGAATGTTACTCTGCTAAACTGTGAACTTGTTAACACAAGTTGGAAAGGCTATACTCAAACAATATATCCTCTCCTGCATCCCTGAACATTCCCACATTGTGGACCTTACTCCCTGTGAACACACACAAGATGGATAACTCTTAGGCTCTTCACTTTGCTTATCAGGCTCTAGACAGCCTCTCCTGCTGTCTCTGGAGGCTCTCATGAGATCTCACAGGGCCATGAGAGGGCTCTAGGGTTGTGCGCCTAGCATCATCTCACTCTATAGCCGTAGGAAAGGTACCCTGCCTACGGGCCGTCTGAGACTCCAGGTTGTGCCTCATCCACTCTATGGTCTCCGCGCTGTCAACGTCGTCACTAGCATGACAAGCTGCTCTGGCGAGCCAGCGCAGCACACGGAACGCCGATTTATACCTTCCCGCTGGAAGCAGTCCCTATTTATTACTTGCACCCAAGGTGCCTTTCGAACTACTAGGTTGGCAGGCCGCTGGCACGGAGCGAACAGAGACGCACCCCGCCGCGGGGATTCGAACCGCCAACCTTTCGATCGGCAAGGCCTAGGCACTGAGGCTTTAACCCACAGTGCCACCCGCATCCCTTTTTAAGCCTTACATGCATTCAATTCATGTAATTTCAACTGCCTGGCCACCCAGCACATAAATTTGAAATCTTGCAAGTTAAATGGGTGTAAGTTGCAAGTTACTTGCATACCTGTGGTACACAGAAGTGGTGACATTTTCCGTAAAGCCTGACCAAACGTCTACATCTGTGTCTTATCTGCGATGCCTTCAAGGCAGTCCTTCATATTTGCTTCAGTGGAATGGAAGCAGCCCCCATCCCCTTTTAAAACCCAGTCAGGAACAAACTATCCTTGCTTTTCCACTTACCATTTTCAGAATTGATCTTAGGACTGTTTAGTGAGGTAGCCATTGTGCTCCTTAGCGTGATCAATGGGTCTGTGCGAGGATCTTTAGGTGCATTTTTCAGCTTGCGATCTAAAGTTATAAAGACAAGGATGAGTGCTAAGATTTGCAGGTGCCCAATTTCTGCCCCAGTCTGCTTCATTTGATACCTAGGAGCCTACAAAGGACTTTTCACTTCTAGGAGGCAAAGGAGAATACCCTGCTGAGGACCCCTTGCCCTGCCCAAAGTGGCTGGGGCAACCCAGTCAGATGTGAGGAGTACAATTATTATTATTATTATTATTATTATTATTATTATTATTATTATTATTATATTTACATCATCTTCATTTCAATACTCTCCATTTTTCTAATCTTAAATGCAACGCTCCATCTCTCTGACACATTTTGCAATTATTATTATTATTTTTAAAGACTCATGAAAATTCGTCAGCATTCTCCTGTAAATTGCTCCTAATAAGCACATTTGTGTATGCTGTTTTGAGTAATGCACACACATTTTTTCTCCTAATATCTTACAAATTTCTCCTACAATGACTTTTAAATGCGACATTCATTTTTATGCACATTTCCTGTGTTCTATACATTTTCATAAATGCTGGCATCGAAAAATTCAGAGATGTGCTAATTTCTGAGAGCGGCTGTATGTTGGTGCAGATAGATTCAGTGTCAAATGTTACTTGGAGTGAGTTTCTCCCCCATCACTAGACCCAACAAAGAATATTTGTATTACTGGTTGGGTTTTAAAACCAGCACGAGGTCTTAAATGAAGTTCTCTTGGTGCATTGCATGTGTGAAGGAGTTCTACAGCTTGAAGGAAAACATTGTCTGCCACTCACCCCCTCCAGGGGTTGTGACTCTCACTGCCCCTGTCCCCTCCCCATGTCCACCTGTTTAGCACTGAAGTCTGCAAAGCGATGGCTCCATGGCTCTCATCTGCTGTTGATCCATGC